TGTGTGTGTGTGTGTGTGTGTGTGTGTGTGTGTGTGTGTGTGTGTGTGTACAGAGCTAAATCATGCCCAATGGCTCACAACAAGTGCTGTTTCTTAGTCACCAAACAGTTCCCATTACCTGACCTGTTATCATGTCTATTCCAATTCATAAACTCTCATACTCTGACAAATGTCTTCCATAAAAATTGCTGCCCTGGGGAATATGATTTCTCATTGGTGTATTTACTTACATCAGAGAAAAATATGTAGACTTTGAAGCAATAGGGAAAAGATCCTGCCTTGGTTGGGGAAGGAAGGATAGGTAGAACTTTGGAGAAAATGAAATATATATAGTGCTTTATTTACCATTTTTGGATATAAATTATTTATGATTGTTGCAGCCAAGGTCCACCCATTTTCCCTGTTCTGTTTTCTAGTGGATTAAACATAATGAGAACACATATCCACATCTTTACTTCATATCTCTAATTAGAAGTCTCTGTTCTTCAGATATACAAGCACATTTGGTTGGAACCATTCTATGAAATCTGAGTACCAATCCTTTTTAATCCATGTTTTCTGGAGCAGTTGAGAATATTCACTTTGTGAGTATTTAGGACCAAACAAAATGTGATATGATAGGGCCATCAATGGTTTCCCTGTATAGAGTACAAACTCTTTCTTATATGATTTGTTTCCTATTTCCTATGAGATAATTTTAAAAAATCAGCATTTCCTGAGAAAATTGAATTCCTTTTCCTACCAACAAGAGACAGATCTAATCAGGTATGTGAATAGAATTAGGAAGACAATACAAACTTTCTGATATTCATAAGGATTTAGGCTTCAATTATTAGGTGAATAGAGAGGCCACAATCTGTTTCCTTTTTATCTGGTTTTCCTCAGTTACAAAAACTTGTAGAATACCAACAGCAACGCAGAACTGGTGAAATGCGTCAACAGTATAGTTCTGGTGGAGTTTCACTGCAAATGTGAATAGTAAGTCAATATTTTTTCAGATACGCTAATAGATCACTAAACAAAGTACAGTAACATCTCTCCATGTTACGAAACTACTGCCAATGAGCACTACTTACTACTTCGTATACCATTTTGTGTAAATGGGATACCCTAAATTGGCTGACTAAAACAAGTGGTTAACAAAACTTGGCATGATTGTACAAACTTTATGACAGTGTGGTAGAAATTTGCAGCAGGGGGGAATGGGGGAAGGGGTTTACCTCAGTTTAATGGCTCTACTCTCCCATCTGAGAGAGCCTGAATTTAAATATACTTCCTCTTTCTCTTGAGGCATATGAAGAAGGATGTAAAATGCATTATCTATATATATACAAACGTGAAATACCATTCATGCATCATCACAGAATCTCCAGAACCATAAAGCCTACAAACTTGAAATTTAGCACATATGTTCTTCTTGGCTTCTAGGTGCTCACTAAGAAAGGATGACCATCAGAGCATTAGTATTTCATATATTATTATTATTAACATGCTGTGATGCTAAGGAGTTCTACTCCCCTTCCCCACCTGAAAAGAAATATTTTCCAAATGCAAAACACAAGCAGAAGAGAAGAGTTTCAGTTTTAGTTTCACAGCACAAGCAGCTTTAGTACAGAATAGTTGAGCTAAGCCACACCCAGGATCCTTGCCATCTCCTTCTTGCTCATACAGCATATACTGTTTCAGTTTCCAAACAGCCCTCAACTCTCACACACTGTCAGGATGCTAGCCAGATGAATACTGATGGATGCTGGTAGGCAGAGGCAGAATTTTTCCCCCTTTATTTTCTTCCCCCAAAACTAAGTCCGACCACATAGTTTTGTAGTGAAGTACGGATATTGAGCTAGTATTACAATATTTAAGCCACTTTCTCTCCCCTTTTGCTTTTATAGATACTAACACGGATACTTCCCACATATATAACAAAAACTGCTCCTGGATTATTTATTGCATCCTTTCCTAATTTAATGTCTTCGGCTGAGATTTTAACTTGGAATAGTTTCCAGCTAGTATAACCAAACGCAATATGTTTCTACAAATCAGTACCAGGAGTGACATTCAAATTTTTTAACAACCAGTTCTGTGGGCATGACTTAGTTGGTGGGCATGGTTTGGTGGTCATGTGACTAGGTGGACATGGCTTGGTGGTCATGTTATTGGCTGGGCATGGCCAACTCAATATCACTCACATCGAGGCACGCATCTCCTCGCCTGGCCTCTCAGACTGTGGGGATGCTGCAACAGTCGTAAGTGTGAAAAATGGTCATAAGTCACTTTTTTCAGTGCCATTGTAACTTTGAATGGTCCTCCAAACAAGCAAAGTACCAGCAAAGGAGGGGGGAAAAGCTCCAGAGACATTCCTGAGACAGGAAGTCTAGTCCTGCCAAGAATGTAATAAGAGTTAATGGAGAGGCAGCTTCTGTAAGCAACACCAGAATGTTTCTTTCCTGCCTTCCTTACAGGATTAGGCCAATAATTTCTTCTAACAACCGGTTCTCTGAACTGTTTAGAATGTTAACAACCGGTTCTAGCGAATAGGTGCAAACTGGTAGAATCCCACCCCTGATCAGTACGTTGGAGAACATTGATCTGAGTTTTCATGAAGGAAGTAGTCACCTATTTCTCCTTCTTACTCACCGCTTTCTGAAAGACCTCCTTTGGGAATATCATCTGTGTGTTTTTGACTAGTCAAAGTTTCTTCCTGGTTTCTTGTAAACTGAATAGGGTGTGGAATTTGAATTGGTGTCACAGACCAGGATCTCTGAGGAGGTAAGGTCTTTGTAAGCATGGCCGTATGCTCTTCTATCATGGCAGGGGACATTGCACCTATTGAGAAAAATGTCAATAAATGACAGCATGTATGCCACAGTAGTAATTCCACAATTCTTTAGAGCAAAAATAGTCTTTTTCATAAATGTATTGTCTTTGTAAGGGCTGAATATACAGCTGGCAACTTGAACTAGAAATTTTTATTAGCTTGTTATAATGGATTTTCTCCAAAATAATCCTGGGGAAAAAATGGTGAAATGCTAAGCAATCTTTTTCCATTTCCTGTCATTCACATGTACATGACTCTATGAATTACACATCATCACAGTCCCTTTAACCATGCCTATTAGGATTTTGGGAGTTGCTATGGAAGGTGTCAGAGTATAAACATCTATGTTAGAAATTCCTAGTTCTTTGTCTTATAGTGCTCCTCTCCAAGACCTAGTTGGCTAATTGTTATATGTGCCTTGTCATTCTCACCTGAACACACAGCCCCAGCATCTTCACTATGTCGGCAATTGTTTGTCCCCCAGGAACTGGTGTGGCAGTCTGCCAATTTTGTCTCTTCTCCTTGGCACTGCACATCATCCAGCCAGATGACACTGTTTCCCTCACCAAAGAAGGCACCACCTGGTGCTGCCAGAGCCTCCCCACAGTCCAGCTCTCGGCATATGACAGTAACATCCAGAAGGTCCCACATGTCATCACATACTGTCCCCCATTGTCCTTCATGAAATATCTCTAACCGGCCAGAACACTGATTTTTGCCACCCACAAGTCTTAGGGTTTCTGGAGACAAAAAAGAAGGAATTTAAGGCAGATTCTGGAATAGCCCAAAGTACATATGAAAATAGGTTTGCTACATACGTTCTAAAAGTAAAAATAACATCTCCCTTTCATTAAGCTTGAATATTCCTTACTTCTTGAAGACTACACATCCATAAACTTAGAGTATCTTTTTTTAAAGGGAAAAATAATATTCTCTAAATCATATCTGGGCCTTTTGCTTTGTTTGTTTTCTGTATAAAATTCTTTTAAATTATGAGGTTTGGTAATGCATCTCTTCTTTACCTGTTCCAAAATATTAAATTTACAAATCATTTTCAAGATAAATGACTCAGATCAAAAATCTGTTGTATAAAAAAGTCATTGTGGAGATGGTTCTTCCATCTCACAATGACTTTTAATCCTATTCTGGAGATTGACAGTTTCTGTGCAAACAATGGAAGTGTGAATTTTATAATTGTACTCACCCTCAATAGGTGTAGGTGACACAAGTGGCCTTGTGGTTGTTACTCCCTCCATTTTTCCCTTCTTGAGAGGTGTGTGGGCAGGAATGGCAGTAAAAATAGGGAAACGCTGTTCTGTGTAAAGACAAGTGGGAAGAAGCGTTTCATTGCTCCAGAAGGCACAGAAAGCTATAAAACTCTGTATTGATTTATTAAAAACATTAGTACAGCTTCCTCATCTTTAAAAAAAAGCTTTTTTCCCCTCTTGTTCAATCATGTCTGATTCTTGGAGACTATCTGGAGAAATCCCAGGAATTTTCTTGGCAAAGTTTTCAGAAATTATTTGCCATTGCCTAGGGCTGAGAAAAAGTAATTGGCCCACGGTCATCCAGTGGGTTTGTACCTAAGCTGGGGCTAGAATTCATGGTTTCTACTTTGATGCCTTAATCACTGTGCCAAACTGGCTAAGATGGCTTATACCCAAAAATAAAAGCTATATATACAACTAAAACTAAAACCACGAACAATGGAAGTGTGAAGGAAAAACAGTAAAGGCCATTTTGATCTCTTCCCATTCCAGCACATGGGGGAAGAGCCAGGTCTTAAACTGAAAATTAAAGAGTTGCAATGGAAAGGCTTGCTTTAGGGTCTCCAACCTTGGCCACTTTAAGACTTGTGGACTTCAACTCCCAGAATCTGCATTGAGCTTTACTGGCTGAGGAATTCTGGGAGTTGAAGTCCACAAGTTTTAAAGTGGCCACGGTTGGAGACCCCTGTTTTAGAGCAGTGGTTACCAACCAGTGGGCCCCAAGAAAATTTTGGTGGGCCACAGAGAAATCTCACACCCAGAGCACCCCCGAAAGCAATTAATCCAGGCTGCACAGAAACACAAGGCTGCTCAGCCCACATGGCCCGCGAGAACCCTCCCCACCCACTCACTCCTTACCCGGCAAACTTGCCTGCTAAATTGCAATTTTTCCTTTTTCTGACCATCATCTGTTCTGCTGTGCCGGGAGATTTAGATTAGCTAGGAAGCAGGAAATGGTTGGATTTCTTGCTTTCAACTAGTCTTTAGATCTTAGGCTCTGCTTTTAAGCACAGCCGAACCTCCCTTAGGACTGAAGATTCTATTATTCAGTGGAGACTCACGGCAAGCAAATTTGAGAGAATGAGCTAGCCGATAGCAGATAGATAGATCACTGAATGATTCTGTGAGCAACTCAATCTGCCTGCCTGCTTTGCCTGATTTTGGGTAAAAGTTGCTCTTTTTTTATAAAAAAAAATCAATATTTATATAAATATTTATAATATTTATACAAGCCATGCCCAGCCAGTTACATGACCACCAAGCCACACCCACAAATTAGGCTACGCTCATAGAACCGGCTGATGGTCCCTGGGATTTAAAATTATGAGTTTGGTGGTCCCTGAAGTCCAAAAGGTTGGCGACCCCTGCTTTAGAGGACCCACAATGTAGATGTACTTAAGGGAAGGAACTTGGAGCATGGCTTGGAGCATCTGGCGAGATGGGTAGATACCTCAACAAGAGGCAGTCCTGCAGACTTTTTTTGGACGCTAATGGATGTTTGAGGGGCTAACTTTAGATTCAACTCTTTACATCAGGCCCCATTTAGTACAGTAAAAAGCTAAACTTTGAAAGAGGATTTGGTCAAGTATTTATTAGTTAAGCTTTAAGGTGAGGGCAGAGGAAAAGGTGAACTTCTCCATTAAATTATATGCCTGGATTGTCCCTATATTGAAGCTAATTTTGGAAAAATTCCAATTATCCCCAACAAGCTTTTACTGTAATTTAAACTCTTGTCTTTGTTTCTCAAATACTGATATGTACTTGAAACAGATTTGGAAGCTACTCTAAGTAAGATAGCATAGAGGGTATTTCTATGTGAGAATCAATTCACCTGATATAGCCAGTTCTGTGGAGAAGCAAACATAAAGTGTACAAATATTTGTAGTGTCAAGAACTATAATGCAGTTGTTACTTATGTAGAATATAGAAAATGTTTCCTGCATCTAAACAGTTGGACCTGGAAAAAAAGCTGCTTTTAAAGAAATATGATGAAGATCTTATTGCTTCAGGCACAGTTTTCTACTCTCAGTTTTTCAGGGTGGGATTTAGGTAATGGTGAAAATTGTGTTGAGTCATTATTACTTTGACAGTCTTCTCCATTTAAAATATAAATAAATAAATGTGCTTTGTACTTGCTTTTCATGATTTCAATCATGATATTGATTTTCACATTTAGTAATTATTTAATACAATAAATCAAACAAATCAGAGAGCTACTAAGGAGAAAGACACAACCCCACCAAAAATGGCAGGGTAACTACTATATACAAGCAGAAAGTAAACCCTATACTTATACTAATGATGTTATCTAGTTGGGTAATGAAACATCTGCCACCAAGTAACCAAGCTCAGAGAGCATCAAGAACTCCACAATAAATTACTTCTAATCTTCTAAAACAAGCATCCTGTGAAAAAGTTGACAGTAACAAGAGCCCTACCTGAGCAGATGGCACTGGCATCTTCCTCATGGGTGCAAATATGTTTGTGAAAGCCACGGTGATGGCAGGAAAGCAGGTGCCTCTCAGTACCTGCACAGTGTACTTCATTGAGCCAGATAGAACCAATTCCTTCACCAAACCAGGCTCCATGAGGTGCTGAAAGGGCTTCCCCACAATTTAGTTCTCGGCACACAACAGCAACATCACGCAGGTCCCAATCATCATCACAGACCGTCCCCCATTCATCTTTATGGAGAACCTCCACCCGTCCCACACAAAGGTTAGGACCTCCAGATAAACGTATCTGGAAAGCGCCTGGGGAGAGAGGGAGAGGGAGGGAGGCGGGGGGGGGGGGAGAGAGAGAGAGAGAGAGAGCACTGTTTTCCCTCTTCACTTTAAACAAGATACCCTGAATATACTGAAATCTTTTCTCTTTAACTTCTATAAATCAGTTTTTATCATTCAGTTATTTGCTTTACATGTTTTCAAAACCAGAATCAATAGATAAAGAAACACATCATCTGCAAACTGGTAATTTAAAAAAATAACATGATAATTTGTGATGTTGCTATTCTTGAGCAACATCATGGAGAACACAGTATAAAAATGCAAATCATGTCCTATATTTTATTGCACAAGTCAACCCATCATTTGATTAGTTTATCTGGAAGCATTCTGATAGAGTACTACACAGTGAACTAGTCCGACCCACTTTAATTTACATGTAAAATAAAAGACAATGAAGTGCAACAAGAGTCTTGTTCCATCACCACAAGCAAATTTGGTGCTTTAGCTACCCATTTTTCTGGGGCTTTCCCAACTATTACTGAAAAATCTGAGGTTCCCTTGAATTTGCTGATATCGCCCTCTTGTGGATGGCACCAATATAATAGTATAAACATCCATATTTGGAAAAAGCTTGAATATAAATATAGTGGTGACTATAGATCAGTGGTCCCCAACCTTTTTTGTGCCAGGGACCAGTTTCACTCAGAAACACTTTTTCAAGGACCGGGGGGGGGGGGAAGAGTCCGAGTTTGGTGGTTTGCTTGCAGACGTTTCATTATCTGACTAGGTAACATCTGATGTTGTTACCTAGTCGGGTAATAAAACGTCTGCCAGCAAACCACCAAGTTCAGGGAACGCCAATGCCTCCTCATTGCAACCCTGAGCGACAGATAGTCCCTGCAGGACGGCTGAGAAGCCTCGCCTCTCGGCCCTGCCTTCATCAGCCCCATCCCTCAGGTGTCTCCCTCCCTCCCTCAGCCTCATCCCTCAGGTGTCTGCCTCGTTCCTCTCTCAGTCGCTCTCTCACTCCTCCACCAGCCCAGGAAGAAACTGCTTCAAAGAAGCCGGCAGGGTGGCTTTTCCTGTCGGCGCAGTTTCCCCAAAGCGCCCGTTCACCCCCACACCGCCGCCCACGGTTCAATCCAGTGCTCCGTTCTGCCTGCCTGCCTTCGTTTCTGGTGGTTTCGGAGCGCAGCTTCTCCGAAGCACCCGTTCACCCCCGCCCCGCCCCGCCCCGCCGCCCGCGGTTCAATCCAGTGCTCCGTTCTGCCTGCCTGCCTGCCTGCCTTGGTTTCTGGTAGTTTCGGAGCAGCTTCGGCTGAGAAAAAGAGGTGAATAGTTATTATTCTCAGCCGAAGCTGCTCCGAAACTACCAGAAACGAAGGCAGGCAGGCAGGCAGAACGGAGCACTGGATTGAACCTGGATTGATTGGCGGCGGGGTGGGGGTGAAACGGGCGCTTCGGAGGAGCTGCGCCGACAGGAAAAGCCACACACACCCCCACCCCCCGGCTTCTTTGAAGCAGTTTCTTCCTGGGCTGGTGGAGCAGCGAGAGAGCGACTGAGAGAGGAACGAGGCGGGAGGAAACCGAAGCCGCTGAGCCAGAGAGCAGGACAGGCTTCGGTTGCTTCCTCCCTCCCCTTCTCTCATTTGTGTCCTTGATCCCCGATCCCAGCAGCATTCACCGAAGGCGAAGAAAGCCGCCATTTTTTTTTTCCTTTGCGGCCCGGTACAGAGTGCTCCACGGACCGGGACCGGTCCGCGGCCCGGTGGTTGGGGACCCCTGCTATAGATCATCAATCTCAAATTGATCAGGGCAAAAATCAAGGTGGTCAAATTTTAATTGGATTTACCTGTGACATGAAGTTTCAAGAAGACAACTGCAAAAACAAAGCAAGACAGGAATGAAAGCCAGTACTCCTTACATTCTGGGTTTTATTTAGATGAATGCAATTCATTTTCAAGCATTACACATTCAGGGGAAAAAACTATTTTTGAGATACAGAAGCAGTTTCAAATAACATCAGAGGAAAAGATTCTTTCAAATCAAGCTCATGTAGTGACATTGTTGATACATTTATGCAATATTCTTGGCAAGAGCATGGAAGTTGTATGCTGTTGTTACTACACATTTTTTCAATTTGTGACCCTAGCTTACAGCTTTGGTATACAATAAATATTATATTAACAACTTTTGTAATTTCCAAGACAGTATCTTTTAAGGCAATTTATGCTTCTCTTCTACTGATTTAATTTGCAGATCTTAAGGCACAGCTTGCTTAACAATTGCTTATTGAATAAACTATTGTGTCTGTCTGTAAGACACAATGGCTGACTTTACAACACTAAGCCATAATTCTGAATTTGCTTGATTGTGTATCAAATATGAATTCAGACAATATTTTTTTCTATCTTAGCTGATAATAATATTTTTCCTTATAAATTCTATCAATATTTAAGTGTTTGGCATTTTATACTAAACAAGTCTGATTTCCAGGAAACTATTCTGCATAAAAATATACAGTATACTAAGACACATTAGAAATTTCATGGCACTGTCTTCTGATAATTTTGTCAGCTCATGAAATAACTAGGGCTCAGTCTACCATTATGCAGATAAAGAATCCAGCTTAGATAATGAATATTAACAGAGTGGTATATTCTAGATCAGTGATGGCGAATCTTTTTGTTGTTGTGTGCCGAAAGTGCATGCACACGCATGCCAACACCCACAATGCAATGCACCCCGCACCCCCTTGCACATGCATATACAACACCCCTGATTCCCTCTCTTACCTGCACTGTGCATGCATGTACCTCCCAGCTGATTTTCAGCCCGTTTGAAGCTGTTTCACTCTCCCCGAGGCTGGAGGGAAGCCTCTGTAGCCTTGGGAAGCTGAAAAATGGGCCAAAAAGCAGCTGGGATGTGTGCATGTGTAGTGCAGATAAGTTTGGTTGGGGCTCACATGCCCGCACAAATGGCTCTCTCTGCCACCTGTGGCACACGTGTCATAGGTTCACATCCTGGTTCTAGGTAATATGGTTGATTTTGGATCAGGCCATTTGCTATTTTCCCATGCCTTCCATATATTGAGTTGCAGTACTGAGATTAAGTTTTAACTAATCTTTGAAGCTACTGAAAATATCCCCCCTTTGCTTCAGAGAGAACTACTCTAGGGTAGTCCTGGATCTATTTTAGATCCCAGGGTTTGTTTTCTTCCAGGGGCAACTCAAAGTCAAGCTTAGAATCAGTTGCAAAACACATCTTTCTCCTTCTATCCTGGCCACTTTTTACAGAGGCACAATTGGGCGTGTTTGAACAAACTGCGTCACTGTTTGGTTGGTGACTGCAGTGCTTCAGAAAGTCCATTCAGAGAGTGGTAAAGACATCCAAGATTATAGCAAGGTCACTTCCTGTTATTCAGGATACTGCTTCTAAGCACTATGTGCTTAGAGCTCAAAGCATTATTAGAGACCCTACACACCCACTTCATGGTCTATTTCTGTTGTTCCTGTCTGGGAGAATGTTTTGAAGTATTTCTAGCAGGACTACCAGATTCTGTAACAGCTTTGTTCCCTATGCCATCCGCCTGGTAAACTTGCGAGATTTGTTTCTTTCACCATGTATCTGAACTAAACTGTATTATTTTTCCCTGCCCTATAATATATTTGGATATATGCATAATTTTGTCAGGGTAGTGATTTAAGAGCTGACCAGCTGATGCAATGATGTAATGATGGGAATGAGTCAGCAAGGTTTTTAGCTGTTATCTCTTTAAGAGTTTATATAATAATAAGAGGCCCTGTTAGGGTATTTCTCTCACTGTGTGTTCTTTCCTGCTGTAATTTGCTACTTGTTTGACCTCTACCTGTAGTATGTGTATGCATAGTATATATTCTTTTGTAGATAAAACCACTATTTATTACAAACTTCTGTTTGCTGTTATTGCTCCTCCTTGTCTCATGTAGTAAAGCTGTGCGCACTGACAAAATTTTGTATTTATTTATTTTGTCATGTTTATGTAGTACATACTGGAGGTGGTGACCCTTTGGGAGCTGTATGCAATGAAATTTCATTTTAATGTATGCCGATTAGTGTGTATTCAAAGTGACAATAAAGTTATTCTAAGACTCTGACAACCATAGAGTCCAATTCAACATGTTCTTCATATTTGCTTCGTCACTATTCCAAATGTGAACTCACAATACAATGGTTTTCTTAGTTATGTCTCTGCAGACCTGGTACCTTAGTTAAACCAATTTCAATTCTAGCCACTATCACCATTCTATGACATAAATCCTGTAAAATAAGCTGATTTAGAACTTGAAGCAATGAGCTTGAAGTATCCAGCTGATAATGAAGAATACTTTCTGAAGTATCAGCACGAAGTGGAACCAGAAAAAAAACGGTGGTCTTTGGCTTACAACTAATTTCTTAGCAACTGTTTCATGTTACAGTGGACTCTCCAAAAAGTATTTACAAACCAGTTCTGAAGTTCCGATGGCTGTTCCCCAAGGATACCAAGGATCACATTTGATGTGCTCAGTGATAGGCCTACATTTACAGCCATTTGGAATGTTCCATTGTCCCATGGCCATAATTTACGATTTTTCAAAAACTCAGTGTTTACTTCCAGTTTTTGGCAAAAAACGCCCATTAGGAAAAATTCACTTAACAACCACATGTAATGATCAAACTGATTCACTTAACTGCTGCAAAAAAGGTAGTAAAATCAGACGGACATGCAAAAACTTACTTTATCACCATCACAACTTATAACCATAATATGGTTATAACCATAATGGGCAGGCTCCATTATGACTGTAAGTTGACAACTACCTATAAAGCTTTACTGTCTCAATAGATGAGACATATCTGCAAAAGCCAAGTGCTGTCCTTTCTCAAACAGAAGATTTAAGATGGAAATTTTAAAAAGAAAATGCAGCACAACTATCTACATGTGTGTGTTCTCCTTTATGTACAGGTAGTTCTCTACTTACAACCATTCATTTAGTGACCATTTGAAGTTACAATGGCAATGAAAAAAGTGACTTATGACTGTTTTCACACATACAACCATTGTAGCATCCCTGTGATCACCTGATTAAAATTCAGATACTTGGCATATATTTATGATGGTTACAGTATCCAGGGATCATATGACCACTTTTTGCAAACTTCTGACATGCAAAGTCAATGGGGAAGCCAGATTCACTTAACAGACGTTACTAACTTAACAACTGCAGTGATTCACTTAATAGCTGTGGCAAGAAAAATTGTAAAATGTGACAAAATTCATTTAACAATTTTCTTTGCTAAGCAACACAAATTTTGGACTCAATTTGGATTATAAATCAAGGACTACCTGCAATTTTTGGAACAAGTACATAATGGATTTCTGCCATCTTTTGCTGAGGAGATGGCAGGAATGTTTTTATTAAAATTTACTTAGGTGCCTGTGAGCTCTTAACATTTTAATCTTTTCTAGAATCAATACTGTGGGGGGGTGGGGGTGGTATTCTTATGCATGAATAACTAAATGGACCAAAAATGTTGTTTTTCCATTCTCTCATCATGTAATCTGCTTTATAAACTGTTGTAAAACAGCTTTAAAATACATTAAGTACAGCCGCTATTAAGTGATTTGTGTTTAAAATAAATCAAAATCAATTTATAACTCATTAATCTCACAAACCTGAAGCAGCTATTGTAGAATGAATGCAAAATGTAGCATAAGTCTTCAGCAATGTTTACTTGAGACTAGAATATAGATGAAAGCACTGATTTAAAATAAAAATATTATATGTATTTCCTGACTGAAATCTTGATGACACTTTTGCATTGATCCATGAGGATTCATCTCTGTTACTGTCACAGAAAGTCATTTCCTCCTACAGCAGATCAAACCTATGCAACCACATCTCCACTAGTACATTCTTTCCCATAACTCTGATGGGAATCATAGGCTTGCTGGTAGAAATATTAAGCCACTCCCAAGGGGCCAGTTTGCTCCCCCAAGGAAAATAAGGGTAGCAATAATAAAGGAGACACTACTCACCCAGAAAGGACAAAGAGGACTGCATGGTGTGAATGGCAGGATCGGTGAGTTGCCTAATTGCAAAGGCAAATCAGAAGCAATAAAGACTGAAGACCCAGGCTGTGAGTCAGCCAGACAGAAAGGAAAGTAGGAAACACCCCTGCTTTGCCCTGGGTCATGTAACTTCCAATCTGCAGCCTGGGAAGAAGAGAACCAGACCAAGGAGGAGAAATTCCCACAAGACTAAGCCTGGTGTGAGAGCCACATTTGAGACATTTCTCTAAGACTTTTCAAGAGAGCCACTTAACAGAGACCTAAGCTGGGTTGCTGTATCTGCCAATGGAAAACTTTAAAACTCATGTTGATTATGTAGCAATTATACTAATGTGCATAGCTTGCTCCTTTCAAACATTTTTTAAAACCATCATTTGTCCTGAAACACTGCTTTCAATTCACTTGTATATGTGAATCCTGGCCAGAAAGACACAATCTTTCCAAAATGTCCACTCATTATTTTTCACAACATTGTGTTTTTAACAGTGGGATATAATGCTTTTTCCATGCAGTGTTCCAGAGTCATGTAATTGCCATTTGCATTCTTCCGGGACAGCTTCTAACAAGTAAAGTCAATGGGAAAGCCAGCAGGGAAATAAACTACAGTTAGATGATGTCTCATTTTATTACATTAATTAATGATGAGTTTTCCAGTCTCAATTGTGGTCATAAGCCTATGATTACCTGTACATTTTTCTGATACCATTTTTTTTACATTTTTAAGTCAAGTTCTTTTATTTAATGATTGGTTTCATAATGTTTGTCTCTTTTAAGGAGCCCTGGTGGTGCAAATGCTTAGAATGCAGTACTGCAAGCTAATTCCACAGTCTAGAGTTAGATCCTGATGGGCTCAAGATTGACTCAGCCTGCAAATTCTTCTCAGGTCAGTAAAATAAAGACCCAGAATATGCTGACATTGTAAACTGCTCATACAGTGCTGTACAACTCTGTAGAGCAATATATAAGTCTAAGTGCTATTACTATTGCTATTTTATGAAGTTGTTCTTCTTTTTAACTGTATTTTTTATTATGGCATATACAGAATACCATCCAGGGCTTCTTTGTGAAGGGAAGGTTATTTAATACATAGATCAAGATATTCACAAGGTAGTGTACCAACATCAAACTGTATATGACACAAATTACTTACGATAATTACCTAATAATTAATAATTAATTGTCACTGTAAGATAAAAATAGATTAACAGATAATCAGAATTGGAAGGGACCTTATAAGTCATTTAGTCCAACCTCCTGCCCAAATGGGGGACCCTACACAATTTCTGACAAATGGCAGTCCAATCTATAGGAAATAGATTGAGTTCAATTAAGAATTAAAAGTAATTTCCCTTTTTTTGCTACAAATTGGTGGGAGAGGAGATTGGACAGTTATACGTACAATCTGCTATATCCATGTAAACTAGCTTTCATTATCTAATTTTATAACTATTACCATTGGGCACCTAGGTATTTCCTTAGCTTTTCACCTTTAAAATAAGTATACATAAATAGTGGATATTAAATCATCTCTCTGTACCACTTTTCACCTCTATGGCAAATGGGAAGTTTCCTCAAACAATTCCTCTGTCCATCACCTGGCTTATTATTATTGAAATGAGTGTTGATACTTAAGAGACAAATGAACTCTCTGTCTCAGCACATTAATTTAAAAGATCTACATATTTTTTAGTAAATCAACATTTTACTTCAAACATAATGAATGCCTGTTAATTGTGTTAATAATGTTCGGGGTCCACTCTAAAATCCATATTGTCTCCAATTTGCAGCATACCAATACTTGAAATGTCCAGCAATTGGAACAATTCCAGAGTTCTGGCCAAACAGTCAGTAGTCATGGTAATACAGCATTACATAGTTCAACATTCCAGACTAATTTAGAAGAGTGGCTGGTGACTAAAAGAAGAGATGGTTAAAGAAAAATGGGGCCAGTAAAATTCAGACAACAGTACTGTTGCTAGGTTCTTTCAGCATTTTATTGGCAAACACAGACATGGATTCTCAACATAATTATTACCTTGCCTCTTTGAACCTTATTTTTAAAAGTCAAGTTTTAGCTGCAGGACATATGAGGTAAGTGTTTCTGGATAAAATGGAAAGCTTTTATACAGTACTAAGCAATCAGAGCCAGAATTGTACAACATTCACCATTTGGAATAGCTGCCAAGCCAGACAAAACTTCTTCTAAATAAACAAAACTGCCTTGGCTTAATATTTTCAAATCTAAGAAAATGCCCTCGATGATTTTTCAGATAACCATGAAGTGGCTTGTCACTCCAATTAAATTATTATAAATTATTATATATGACATATTTTTGAAATATATTTTCTACTCTAGTGTCAACCTACAAGAATCTAAAAAGAAGTTAGCAAAATTACCATCATTATCAGGATTTCTCCATCTAGTTGATCATGACTTTCAGATGTGAAATGTTCATGGCTGAAGGAAATTCATACTTTCTTCCATTCCCCATTCTTCCATTAGGAGAATATATTTTCTTAACACCCCTAACTTGGGAACTTGCCCCTAAATTCCTATCACATTAACACAGAGTCATATCTTGTACAGTAGCAATACTCACATTAAGTAGCTCTGCCTTGTACATAATTCTATTGGGACAACCATGTTACATCTTTTCAGCCCACTTTTCTTTGAGAGAAAAGAAGACACTTTCCCACAATCATACCTAGGATGGGCATGTTCAATTCTGTTCTGTCAAATAGTGAACCATCCTTTTTCAGCCGGAAGCGTTATTCACCATCAGTAGTTCTCAACCTACAGCAACAATAGGAACTGTAAAGTTAAATGATGCAATCATTAAGCAAAGCACCATGTGACCAAACCTGATTTTATTACATTTTTTTAAGCAAATCACAGTGGTTGTACTCATTACCTTTCCTGCTGGCTTCTCCATTGATTTTTTTGAAAGTCGACTGGGAAGGTCACCAATAGTGATCATGTGACCATGGAATAGATAATCATCATAAATGGTGTGATGATTGCCAAGTGTCCAAATCATGATCACATGAACTCAGGGATGTTGCAGTGGTTATAAGTACAAGGTCTGTTTGAATTTTTTTTCTGCACTGACATAAACTTGAATGGTCATTAAATGAATAGGCATAAGTCAAGGATTGCCTTGTACTAGAAAACAGAACAACACTGGGGTTTTTTTTCCATGACAATTTCAGAGTGCTTGATGACTCCATGCAGTGTGTAAGGGCAAAATTTGGTATGGAATATTCACAAACAATATTACTATTGTACTAAAACTTAAAGAGAAAGATATTAAATCTTTGGACTCTCATATCTTAATCACCTTTGCCTCTGAACCCAATTTCTATTTATCCTTTAAGATTTTTGTTTGGACTTGATCCTGAATCAGCATGTAAGCAATTTGTAAGCAAGTTACTCTCAGTAATTCATAAATCACATTTCTGCAACATTATACCTGACTTTTATTCACATCTGTCAAAAATACAGACAAGCCTTTTCAAAAATATAGTGAGGACTAGCATTAAAAATATAGTGCATCAAATTAAAGCAGACTAGATAGAATGAGAAATAATGAAAATAGAAGATTCCACAGTTGTTGCTAACTCCCACGTGGATTTATGGGGTGAGAATTGGGGACTAGCGAGAGTTAAGAGTTTATCAATATTTTTAAAAGGCAAAATTTCCATCTGTACAAAGTAGATTCCAATGAGAACAGAGCATCTGGTTAGAGCATAAAGGGAAAATCATGTATATAGAAATATTGAGTAAGAGGATCCATGTCTAGTATTCTTATATCTGACTTTTTCTCTTGGTCTCTGTATGTTTCCTAACACAGTGAATAGGTTTGATGTTTTTCTCCTATTATAAAAAATAAATTGCCACCCCTTAAGTCACTACTGTAATAAAGGCAAGACATGTTGATCCCAACAACTATAACTCAGTTTCCAATAACTTGGCTGTCACAGATGTAACACATCTTTGTACACTGCATTCCTAATGATGGGGTACTTCAAATTAAAAGACATCACCTCTACCCCCAGTCACAATATTTCACTGAGTGTGTATGTGCAGAATCAGTTTGAGCCGATGGTTAAAGCTCCTGATTAGAAACCAGGAGACTCTGAATTATAGTTCTGCTTTAGGCATGAAAGCTGGCCTAAGTGACTTTGAACCAGTCAGTCTCCCTTAGCCCATGACGTCAGGCTCAGACGGCAAGCCAGTTAACTCTTCTTGAAACCAACAGATCAATATTGATCATAAAAATGCAGACTGCACCTGCAGGAAAAAATCTAGCAAGAAAAAAGAAAATAAAATGTATATACAAAGCATTTGGGTTGATCATACCAAATTTTCATTCCACTGAATACTTTTGTAATGTATATCTAATGAGTTTGGAAATCTAGTTCAGCATGATGGAAGTTGGGTACAGACAATGATTCATTCATTTTTTGAATTCTTTTGGTTAAAACATCTGGAGGAAGATACATTTGTGAACCAGAATATAGGCAAGAATTTCTAAAATCAACTTCCTGCCTAGGCTAATAAAGCCCTAAATAGATTGGTAGTCAACCCAGCTTGAGTGTCAGAAAAATGACAATGTAGAACCAAACTGAGTCTGGGTTGTTTGCTAATTTGGACACTGAACTATGTTATATGCACATGAATGCCAGAACATTTATTAGCTCGTCCTAAGAAAAAATAAGCTTTTAAAGACTATTCAAATGTGTGTTCTCTTAATCCTTTTTGTGTCCGATACTGTGTTTCTTATCCAGTTACATTTCTACGTATAAAATTCCACTCACCAGTTTATCTTCAAAAGACACTAGATGAAGAAGGGATATGCAACATGAATTAAATACATATGTTTAACACGTATCATTTAAAAAAATGACCTCAAGCCAGTTTTTATTATCTCCAAATTCTGTGAAAACTCAAATTATATGAACATATACGATTTAAACTAGTTTCCATGACAGGAGCACACCTCTATGCTCTTAGATTCATGATTTCCAACAATGCTATCCACATCCTCATCCTATAGTAGTTCAACCATTTTATGTGCACAATTTAAACTAATCTGAACTACAGGGATCATGTTTAATTCCCCCAATATAGCTGAAATATATTTTATCAGAATGTATAAAAGAACTTCTGAAATCTCATCTTAAAAATGTTTCTCTTTTCTTAAATCAATTTTACTGAATTTATAAAACAAAAGTGAAACTTTAATTGGCTAGAGAATGTACCACTGAATTTCTCTGACCCTAAGAACTAGGGTCAGAGAATATATTCCAACCTAAGCATGCAAATACAGATTTAGAAAACTTGGCCATAAATTCACTACCAGCTGACAGAAGAAAGGGAATGAATGAAAATACATTAAGAAGTGAATGCAAATGATTAGATTTGTCATTGTTGTATGGCATCAAGGGACTACAAAATGCTTAACATATTTCTTTAACTCATGTAAGAAACTGAACTGCTGGGAATTTACTCTCCTGATCAATAATTTGCAAAGAAAATACACAATAACCTAGTAAAAGCCAGACATGCCCTATGCATTCAGGCAGGTGAAATATGAATTTGTCATATAAATTCCTCATCTATGTATTCTGAAAGGCTACTTGAACAATAATTTTCTGGTGACCTTCTGTTATATGAAGTGAATTCATAGAGAAGCATATATATATGTGTGTGTGTGTGTGTGTGTGTGTGTGTGTGTGTATATATATATGTATATATATATATGCTTCTCTATGAATTCACTTTGTATATATATATATATATACAAAGGATGTTGCAAACATCAGGCCCTATAAGCCAATCTCTATGTTTCAGTTTATTCCTCCCAGGGAAAATTTTACAATATTTAGGAGTGTTCAAAAGTCATGCCTCAAGTAAGAAAGGGAAGCAAGTTGAACAATTGAAAAAAAGGCAAGCAAGTTGAACAATTTATGTAATTTATGTAATATTCTATGGGACCTGACTGTTGGTATATTCTCTCTCTCTCTCTGTGTGTGTGTGCACATGTGTGTATACACACACGCACACAGAAAAAAATTGTGCATGTGTTTGTTGTGTATATACATTGAGAAAATATGTGCACGTCTACACACACACACAATTCTCTGGGTGTATGTATGCATATTCACAAACACACATGTGCACAAATTTTCTCAATTGTTAGAATTTGCTCTTCAACTTTGTAAAAAATGTGAAGTTACTCTGACCCCAAAAGAGCACACAGGAAATGAGCCTCAATTCCTGTTTCCAACATCAGTGAATAATGTGGAACAGAAATCCCAAATGACAGTTTGATTACTATACCAGACAGGGAAGAAGGCACAAACAATCCTTTATCCTGATCTGCTTTGCAGCCACACTTTGTTTTCTAAGCAGAAACCATGTTAATAGTAATTACTGCTTAGAAACTGGAATGCTTTGTTTTAACTAGAGCCTGTTTCTGAAACTCTGTGTTTTATTTGTTCAAGAACAACAACATTCAAAAACATGCTATCTTGTCTAACAACTTTGTACCAAACTAGTAGATGCAGTTCTAAAGTTCTTTGATGAACTCTTGTTGAACAGTGTAACCCAACCATGGGCGCCCACCACTCACACTATAGCCAGTGTTCTCAAAGAGACCAACAGCAGCTTTAGCCACCACAGAGACCTGGGCCACCAGTAATTTGAAGCCCTGTGCACGAGCCTGTGCCTCTAGAAAATGAAGGAGGCACCGACCCACACCAGAGCGCCTGTACCATCGGCTGACAGCCAAGCGCTTGAGCTCAGCAGTGTGTGGCTCTCTATTAAGAGGCTCCAAAGCCACACAGCCACACACATCATCATCATCATAAACAGCAACCCACAACCCACGATGGCTTGCACTATAATAGGCATGCAAGTGTTTAAGGTCTGGTGAGCGCCATAGTAGAAGTTTCAGAGCCACCACAGTGAGGAGTACTGGCAGCACAAGGGCCACTACAAAGGAGTTCAGGAAGAAGCGTAGTCCACTGCTCACAACTGCCATCAGTAATAAGGCTAGAGGCCGTGTCAGCACATAAAGTATCAAGCGGTTTTCTGTATCCTTGAATCCATCCTGGTAGGAGAGAAATAGAAGAACATAAAAAGTCCTCAGAGTTTAGAGGAACTCAAATGAAAGATAAATTATCAGGCATACATAACTGTTTCTACCCTGTCTCAGAGAGCTATCATACTCTTGCCTGGACCTGTTCAAAATCGATCAGTGAGCTTTATCATACAGTAATGATATGAATTCAGATATTCTTGGTTCTCTCCTAGCAAAACCACACAATCATATTGTCACAAATCATTTCCCACTAATTAAAATCCTACCTATTACTTTCATGTTACAAGAAAAAGTCAAAAGCAAAAGGAATGATATCTTGCAAGAAAATTTTTATGCTGTTAAACTTTAACTGAAAAATTCCAGAAAATATTCTGGACAGATTTGGGACTCTCCAAGACTAGACCCGAAAATACAATTAGACTTCTCCTATGTATTTGATAACAGTTGAACCCATGAAACTTTCAGAGCCCAAATACAAGTATTACAAACTTGTTGAAGATATCTTCTGAAAAAATGTTAAACGTGGATTAACATACAGAAACTTCTCAAAAGAAAAGCAGGAGAACTGATGTAGCTGGATCCATGTTTCTCCTCCATCTCACCTTCAGAAGTTCCAAAACAATGGGGGCTTCATCCTCTCTCATTTCCCTGATTAACAGCTGTCCCTGGTCCAAGGTAGGCATATTGTTAGCAACTGACATCTGAAAGGAAAAAAAATTCAAACATTGACTGAAAAATAATTCAAAAGGGAAAAAAATTCAAACATTGACTGAAAAATAATTCAGACTACAGTGGGAGAGAATCTTTTACTTAAATGGGGAAATAAATACTCCTCAAAACTCCAAGAGAAGGCAAACTCTGACTACTCCATAAAGGGTGCCTCCACCATATAAAATAAATATAATTTGGTAAATATACATAAGCAGTTGGTGAACGTCTCATCACATCTTCATAATGGTGAACGTCTCATCACATCTTCATTCTACTTTACATTCCCCTCCCCATATTCTTCATATATGCTTAAACTATAATGCACAGCCTTCTTTAAATTATGAACAAAACTGTGATAAGTATCACCCTGAAACAGAACAATTATCACAAACTATTTCATTATAAAATCACAGACTGATACTGCACAGGACTAAACCAGAGATTGTTGATTACAGCACGATAGATGGATGCCCAACTGTACTTTAAGGTGAAATACATTGTGGTTTACAGTATGATGCATGATTATTTGAATTTTGGATTCTTTATTGTCATTGTACATATATACACAGTATACATACAATGAAATTCACATAACACCCAGAGACCAGACTCAACATGCACACACAATCCCCAAACTGGCCAAAATTCCCCACCTTCTAAAAACACACAAGCATCCACACAACAATCACTGGTTAGCTTTGGGCCACCTGCTCTTTTCTGGCTTCCGTTTTTTCTTTTGTTATACAGGGTCCCTTACTTCAAAAGATTGTTCTGAAACGGATTGTTGAGGAAATGATGGGTTTTAGTGCTTTGCATCTACTGCAAATATCATTTTTCCTTAGAGTGAATTCAAAAACAGCTTATCAGATGCAAACGAGCAATAAAGTTTTCTTCGTAAAATTTATAACAGGAAAACTTCAACACTTGTATTTTGCCTAGCCCACTCCCTTTCATAAGAGGGCCACCTCAGCCACGCCCCTCCGCAAAAAATAGAAGCACCTTATCTAGCATACTCACTACAGTTAAGCCTTTTACGGTCCCCCCTCGGTTCCCAATGGACTCACCCAGTTTGCAGGCTACGGCTGACTTCTCCCCTGCAAACAGGCGCATGGGATATTCCAATAACTGTTACATTCTCCACTTTTTCTTCCAAAAGCACGGGAGGGGTGGGTAGGAAACAGTCCTGACCCAAAGGCCCGATAATTCAATCTCATCCCAGACTCAAGGCTTCAATGAATATGCGCATGCGCTACGTTATTTCTTCTTCGACCCTCTATCCCTTCCTACGCAGCCCTTAGTTACTGTTGCTAAGCGGGACTAATGTGGCCTTTTGGGTATGCCAAAACAGTCGAGTTGCAGAGATGTCCCAGCTCTTTTTCTTCCTTGGTCTTTTTCGGGAAACTTAGGAAATTGGGGGGGGGGGGGGATGACTGATCCCCCTTCTTTTTCTGTATGGTATAACAAACACAAAACAAAAAAACTTGGATGTGCAAATCCTGGCAGACAAATTCAACAGGTAAATCTATACATAGAAAATGATACATTAGCCCTTTGCCTATCTGGATGTTATGGCAGTATTAAAAATACTGTTAACCCTGAGGAGCCTATGTTTGTACATGGGGCGGAGGGAGGGGGGTGTTGGGATTGAAATGATATAGGGATTTTTCTTTTTGCCTAAATCTTCAAATTACATACATAAGCTAGAAAACTAGCCTTGATCTATGTAGAATGCAGAATTTTTACTACTAATGGGGGAAACTACCATACCAACAAATCTTAGAATTGCAGATTAGAACAGAGGGCTGTTTAAAAAAAAAAAAAAAAACTTCCTGGGGAATGGCGGTGACAGCCCACTTCAATATCATGGCCACCAAAGTGCCTAGATTCAGTCATGTATGTCACTAATAGTTTAACCTGACTTAAAAATGGATTTTATACAAGTTTAAATTTTACCTTCCCCGTCTTGGAATATAGATGGCTGCACATTTAAATATGTTGACCAGTTATATAATAAGTTTACTAAGCCCCAGTTTCAAAAACTACCAAACCCACAGAAATTTACTATGTGGCTGTGCCAATAATTTTGAGTTCAACCAACCTCATAGGATTCAGCTGTGGGACAAAATGAAGGGCTTACACATCTAAGCCACCTTAAATTCTTGGAAGATAGCATAAATACAAACAAAATGTGTACCAATTTGAAGTACTCATGATGGCAGTATTTGATCTATAAGTTTCTTTGCATCCAGCTGGCTAATGTTAATATTAAATGGGATCCTAAAAACAAAATCAGTGCTGTTCTGAAAATAGTGTGGTTTAAAAGCTGTTGCTGAAAATAAAAGATGGTTCCCAGTACCAAACCACTATATAGTTAATTAGTCTGCACTTCATTATACAATGTACATATTGTTGAAAATGTTAATTTATTTTCAGTATCCATTATATGTAGTACATAGGTGGTCTGAATGCACCCTCCTGTGGTGAGAGGAAATACTGAATGCATGAAGGCAAACGGTATATTATCATGGGTTTGATTTTATGTGCAGATATTCATTGTGCCAAAATGGTAACATGAATAGCAACTATGGCAGCAAGGCTGTGATAAATAAGTCTTATAGTTAGTAAGTTACTAAACCTTACTTATGCCTATGAAACCCTTGTATCACATTAATCTACATTGGAGGGACATTTAAATGCCTGCTTAATGCCCCAAACTTCATGAGGGCAGAAATTTTGTCTTATAACTGATTTTTGAGAGTAAGTACAGGGGGACAGAGGACTGGTTCTACAGGTCATCAAAGGTCTGGGCTTTTGTTCTTAGAACAGTACATTTTCTAGTTGTCTTCTGTTTAACATCTACATGAAACTACTGGATATCTTCATAAATCTAACAGGGGAATTCAGCTATGGTAAATCCTTGACTGAAGATCAGTGGACTCTGCTCTGGGATTGTCATCCTCTCCCATCAAGCGTGCAACTTCAAGAGGAATGTACACAAAGCTATGAAAAAGAGTACAGCTGTATAACCAGCCAGATCAGCCAAATTAATCTTGATGATCAATGGGGTGGCACTGATAGATGTCACAGGCAGATCACTCTCACATTCCCTTCATAAATCTTGATCCTTGGCCAGCTGAGTTAAATGTCCAAAGTTCTACTGATTGCCTGAAGCAAAGGAACAAGTTCAATCCTGACAAAATCAAATGGCTGTGCTTACTTGGTCCCCTGGTTCTAGAGATGTTCCATCAACTTTCAGTGGATTTGCACTTCCCTATTTGAGCTGCTTGTGCAATCTTGCAGGCCCTCTCAAGACTGCAACCTTCTCTCAAAGAGCAGGTAATACCTGTGGTCAAGGGGAACTTTTGCATATATATGTTAATATGCCAGTTGTGACTTTTCCTGGATTGGGACATCTTTCATGTCCTGGTCATTCCCTCTCTCATTAGAGCTTATTGTAATACTCTTTATATAAGTCTGCTGTTGAAGATCATCTTGGAGCTACAGCTGGTATAGAATCTGGCAGCACAGGTAATGTTGGTAATGTTGTATCACACTCATATGACCCCATTGCTTCACAAGCTGCAAGTTACCAGTCAGCTTGCTTGTGATCAGCTTTAAAGTTTGCCTTGGATGATCAGGCAGAGAGGGTGTGCTTTGGGCCCTTAAACCAATGCTTTTTTAAAATATAGTCTTCTCAAAACTAAAATTGCTAGCAGCCTATGCTGAAAAATAAAGCAATATTAAAATCCCATCAAGGAATTGTATGAAGTGGTAGCAAAGGTATCAATTTTTATTTTTAACATGGTAAGCTTCAATAAATATAACCAATACAAACAAAAGCTCTTTTGGGTTCTCTGAAATTTTTAAAAGTGAGAAGGGATCCTGAGGGGAAAAAGAGTTTAACTCTTTGCATTAAACAATGTTATTTTATGGGTACCAAGAAGTATGCCTTCTCTATTGCAATGCCTGCTCCTTGGAATGATGGTTCTCCAGTCATGTAGCTTCCACCATTGTGTTTAGAAAACCGTTTATTCTCCTAGGCCTTGGGAAATGTTGAGAAGAGAGACCTTACATTTGTTATGTCTTCCAAACAGCTTTGTATACTCTTTTTATAGTTGGATAGAGTTCTGCTTAGGCCTGTAAATAACCTTTATGTTAAGGGGGGGAAAACTTCTGATGCACTAGATCTCCACAATTGCCTCATATGTAGGCCCTACCTTGATAACAAAAAAAAATATTTCAAGGGTTGGCAATTCTGAAAGCAAGAAGATATCAATATAAAAACTTTTTGCTAATTAATTGGGTATTAAGGATCTTACCTGGCAAGAAGAAAAATGAATGAAAAAAGACTAAATGAAATTGAAGATCATTTTGCTCAGCAAAAAATAGGATTAGGGCAGGTTTTGTGAGATGGGTTTTCTGGATGTTATTGTCCTTAATATGAATGATGCATTTTTCCAGGATCATATCAATAATAATAAAATATAGGAAACCACAATATTCTTAATATACTATCAATTCATGAAAAAACCTCAGTATTGCAGCCCTCGTGTGAATGAGCTAGTCCTCATATGACACTTGTGATGAAATCTCTCATTTAAAGTGTGAGCATAAACCTTAAAAATTCTTTATGTGTAAGGTATGTTTGCTTCTGGATTTCCTGCTTGCTTTATGAAGCTATTAAGCTCTACAGAAGAGGTAGAAAATGATTGTTGATTGTTAAAGCCTTGCTTTTCTGGTGAAAGAGCTGACCATCTTCTGCCTTGCTGCAATGTACTACCTCCAAAACTTCATTGGGCTTTCTTTCTAGATTTTAAAAAAACTTTTAGTACTAATTGTAATGTATGTATTTATTGATATTTGCTTTTGGTATTAGTTTAGTTTGAAGAGCAGAATTTCAACTGAATACTAGATTTTCACAGCTAAGGTGTAAATAAATCATATTATGACTTAATTTGATTTATAAGCCCAGTTACCAAGATATAGTACTTATTCATCTAGCCCAGTTCTGGCTGTTTATGTCCCAATATTCCTTGGTTACTCAGCCAGAATTAAATCAATGGCTTGTCAGTATTTTGAATCACAAACTAGCTATACACATTTTAGTCTGGCATGCTTTGCAAACCTACTACTGTCTACCCAGAGATGGGCATTCCACAACTTTCTTCTTATAGAATACCAAGAGGCTTGATACCTGTTGAATTGTTCAAGAGTGTTACCAAAACTTCATTTTGTTACCTTTTATCTATGCTACTTTAGTAGTAGCTATATTCAATATGTACTGTGTCTGAATAATACCACTTTCTTGTCCCTTCAAGTTTTCACCTTTTTAAAAAGGCCTTAAGTTAGTAGTTTAATGCACAACCTGCTTCTCAAGTTAAAGGCAGAAACCCTGAAGAACCTACCTTACATTTTCTTACCCCAGCTCAGTAACAGATAAAATATTTAAAAATTACTAAAAAAGTATTGCAGAAATATTTAACATTATTGCATCATAAATGTGATCCAGCCTATGTATGATGGTACACTAAAAAAATACAACTGAAAAATGATCTGCATCAAAGCAGTCTTTTATTTTCATTTCAGCTCACAAGGATCTTTGATTCTGTTGTGTTTGTTAGCACCAGGAACTAAAAGGTCCACTCAGGAAGAAATGTACTTCTGCACATGATAAAAGGGCTATAATAGAAACAGAAGGAATTAGCCATAAAAGCCATTGTAGCTGTATGATGCAATCTATAATAGCTCATAAAACTGTCTCCTATAAGTATCAAGCAATCTCAAGCCTGAATGACCCCAATTTCCTATTTTACAAAAGGATTATGCTATTTCACAGCAGTATGGTCCATGGTCCATGGTCCACAGAAGGGAAATGGAAAGATCAGCTACCCATTAATCACATTCCTGTCTAATAGAATGGGTAGAAGTCCTGAATTAGGCGCTTTTTTTTTTTTTTGCTAGAACAAAATGTTTTAAATAGAGGGATGGATTTGGGTAAAAATAAAAGACTGGGCTGGCAGTTTCTCGTGTGCAATATATATGGATGCTGAGAGGCATGGCACAAGGATTATTGTGGCTGCAGGGATAGAAGCAGCAGTGGCAGGCCACATAGGATCAGAAGAATAACAAAGGACATGCTTTGGATTAGCAGGCAAGGAGTTGAACCCAGTTATTTTTTAAGAAAATTTGTCCGGAGGAATCCAAGCAGAACTCACTTGGTGAGTTGACCACCTCAAATATAGTATATGTATTCTTATTCTTTGCCCCATTCTTATTCTTTGTAGAAATCAGACTGTTTCTGACCAATACTCCAGTCCAGGTATGTGAGGAAGCTGTTTTTTAGAAGGTGTGAACAAGTTGCATGTTTGGTACTGTTTGCACAATCTGAATGGAAGGCAGTCCTTGGGATGCAACTGGGTTTTGTAAAAGCTGCACCATTTGAGAACTGCTGTTGCTTTCAACAGCAGCTTGACTGTTATCTGGACTACCTACCTGCAGGGTCGGTAAACTCTCTAGTACTTGGAGAGTCTGTTCACCCTGTGCATTGCGGATAATAAACAGATTCTGCCCAGTCCCTGAGCTACCATCAGTACTATGTAATTGGAGGCCAGGCAGCTCTTGCAAAGTCTGGATGTTTTCTACTTCCTGAACACACCAACGGGTTTGTTCTCCACTTGCCCTCCTCAACACTAATACATTTTGAATCCCTTCTTCAGTCTGCAGAGTCTCAATATGCATGTCTTGCACACCCTCGAGGTTCTCAACCTCACCTCCAGGCCCTAGCAGTTCCTCTTCTGGAGAATTCTGTACAACAATCAGGTTTTCTTCTTCCATGTTGGATTCCTGGTGGAGGTCCACTTCAGAGAGCTCATGTGAACTAGACAGAGCAGTTCCAATCTCATTCATTGCTTGAGCTGAGCCCAGAGTCTGAAGTTGGACACTGGCCATCTCTTCTGGAGGCTGAAGCTGCTGTCCTTCCTGGGAAGATATAAGCCCCTGGATCTGATTTGCACTATCCAACTGTTGGGAAGGAGCAAGGCCTTGGATTTCAACACTGTTCACAGACTGATTTGACTGAGGCAAATTTTGAATCTGAAGAGAGTTGGCCTGCTGACAAGATGTCAAAGTCTGGATCTGAAGAGAGTTTACTTGTTGGGAAGACTGGAGGTTTTGGAACTGCAGGGTCCCCACCTGCTGGGAAGATGTTACAGCCTGAAATTGCACAGTATTCATCTTTTGTGAAGGCTGAAGTGTTTGAAAATGCACTGTGCCAGCAGGTGGATAATTGGACAGACCCTGAATTTGCACAGTGTTCTGGGATAGAGGCAGACTACGAATCTGTACAAGACCAGTCTGTGGAGGGTTAGGAACAGCCTGGATCTGAATTGTGCCAGATTGCTGGGCAGTAGGCAAAGTCTGTATTTGCAGTGTGCCACTTTGCTGAGCAGTGGAAAGGTTTTGGACTTGCTGAGGCAGAGTTTGAATCTGGATAGCACTTGTTAATGGATTGGGTGGTATATATTGTATCTGCACTGTGCCCAACTGCTGATCCGGTAAACTCTGGAGCACCATAACATTCTGTCCGTTGGTCTGCAGTCCTGGTGACCTCTGGATTTGTACATTAGGGATAGGCTGCATATTGGCTCCAGTGGCACTGGGCATTAAAATAATATTCTGGTTGCTAGATACTGGTGGTGCGGGGGTAGGTACTGACACAGGCTTCTTTCCCTTACTTTGACGGAGTATGACAGGTTTGTTTGGAGTAGTGGAAGTATTTGGCACCAGGGTAAAAGTTGTTGAAGCAACAGGTGTAGTTGTTACCATCTGTGGACTAGGCAAAAGAATGAATTTGGGGGGTGAACTTTGCAGAAGTGGTTGCTGCTGCTGCTGCTGCACACTGGGAATGAGCTGCAAGCCCTGAGCTGTCTGCACTAGCAAGAAACTTTGACTGTTGGAAGAAAGAGCTGGGGATGGGTTGCCACTTAGCTCAACATTCAGAGTGGCCTGCATGTTGGGCACGATTTGTACCTCCTGGGTGGCAGCAGACAAGGCAGTTGGATGATTGGCTGCCTCACTGCTGTTATGGGTACGCAAATGACGCTGTAAGTAAGATGCCATGACAAAAGCCTTGCAACAAACTGGACACTGGAAGGGACGTTCCCGGGAGTGGGTGCGTCGGTGCAGTGCTAAGTTGGATGAGTGAGTGAATGCCTTGCCACAGTCTCGGCAGCAATAGGGCCTTTCACCAGTGTGTACCCGCTGATGTTGTCGGAGGTTGGAAGTCTGAGTGAAAGCTTTGCCACAAGTCTGGCAGGCAAAGGGACGTTCCCCTGTATGCAGCTGTTGGTGCCGACGGAGGCATGAGGTATTCTTAAAAGCTTTCCCACAATCCTGACAGGCATATGGTCGCTCTCCAGTATGCTGGCGTAAGTGGTATTGGTAATGAGAGGCCCATTTGAATGCCATGCCACAGGTGGGGCAGGTGAAGGCACGCAGCCCTGTATGCACCCGCTGGTGAATGCGCAGCAGCGAAGAGCGCTTGAAGGCCTTCCCACACTCACTACAAGCATAGGGGCGCTCCCCTGTGTGATCACGGAGGTGATAACGTAGCCCCGAGGAGCCCTTGAATGATTTTCCACATTCTCCACACACATATGGTCGCTCAGGTGGTGGAGGTGGTGTTGCAGTGGCTGTAGGCACTGGCTCAGCCTGTGCTGGACAGGTCACTTCAGCTTCCTCCAGTCTCTGTTCAGCTGCAGGATGTGAACGCTGGTGGCCTAATAAGCTGGCCAGTGCAGGGAAGGAACGCTCACACACCACACATGTGTATGTGCGATCTGATGAATGTTGACTCTGATGCCTTGCTAAGCCTGCTGCACTCTTGAAAGTTTTACCACACACTGAGCAAGATACTGAGGGCGTGGGAGATACTACAGGTGCCGTCTCCTCCTGCACTGATGGTGATGGCATTTCTGGCAGAGGCAATGGCTCTATTGGAGCCAAGTGTGTTTCTTGGTGACTTAGCAGTTGCTCTTGCAAGGAAAAAGTAAGATGGCACATACTACATCGAAACATCATCTCTACCGTGGTGGTTGGCTCCTCTAAGAAGAGTTGTGCTGGAGGTGCAACGTCAGCATGAGTCTCCAAGTGTTGCTGCAAATAGGTTTCAGATGCAAAAGCTTTACTACAAATAACACAGGTGTGAACAGAGCGGGCAGTGTGTGCTGATCGGCAATGCAGTGCTAGATTAGATGAGTGCGTGAAAGCTTTACCACAGTCCTGGCATCGATAGGGTCTCTCACCAGTGTGCACTCGCTGATGCTGTCGTAGGTTTGTGGATTGAGTGAAAGCTTTGCCGCACATAGGGCAGACATAAGGACGTTCACCTGTATGTGTGTGGCGGTGCCGTCGCAAGCTAGAAGAGTTCTTAAAGGCCTTATCACATGCTGGACAGGGATAGGGGCGTTCTCCAGTATGTTGGCGCAGGTGATATTGGTAATGGGAAGACCACTTAAAGGCTTGGCCACAATGAGCACATTTAAAAGCACGCAGACCAGTATGTACACTCTGATGGATCTGAAGCAAGGATGACCGTTTAAAGGCCTTGCCACATTCACTACACTTATATGGTCGCTCACCCGTGTGTCCACGCTGGTGATACAGCAAGGCTGATGAACCTTTGAAAGCCTTGGGGCATTCTGAGCACTTATAAGGCCGCTCGCCTGTGTGAGTCCGCTGGTGATGGATGAGCCGTGATGACCATTTGAACACCTTGCCGCATTCTAAGCATTCATATTGATGATCACCACTGCCACCACCAGGACCTCCACCTGTTGGGACCACTGAGGGCACTGCTGCTGCCTGCATCTCTATCTGCTGAGCTCCCACCATTGCCACAGATTTCACCTGCTGGAGAGAATCAGTATTACCTGTTTGTCACAATTTCACTAACATGTTAGCAAGACCTGTTCAGAAAAATATGTCACTAATTGACCTGCAATTCAATATGTTGCATGCATCTATCAAAAAACAGATTGTACATCTGAGATATAAACAAAATCTTCCCTATGTGATCTTCCCCCACTCCATGTATTTTGCCCCAGAACTTAAATAAGGTAAATAAGCAGTACTATCAAAGTTTAGGGAACTGATGTTGTCTACCATCATCTTCCAAGGAAGCCCTCTGCTTCTGGCAAGAACCAAAAGCCCAGAAAAGGAGATAACATATATTCCTAGCCCTGGTTGTTAAGAAGCAGAGATACATATTAACACTGGGATTATTGTACCAAACAATTACCATGTAACCTAAGAGTTGCACCAATGTATACAGCAAGTGTCTTCAAACTTGGTAAGTTTAAGATGTGTGGACTTCAACTCCCAGAATTCCTGAGCTAACATGACTGGAAGAGGAATTCTGGGAGTTGAAGTCCACAAATCTTAAAGCTGTCAAGTTTGAAAACCCCTGGACAGCTACAGCAACAGCCCGAAGAGCAGGTATTTTCTATCCTCAACCTTATAATAGTTATTCTAAATATATTACATTGTAACATAACAGCCCATTAATGGATTAAAATAATGCTAATCCACATGTACATTGCATAAATAATCTCTGAAACTTAAATACCAGGCTGAAATAACAGGAACTGTGTTTAATATAACAACAAAAATAATATATTCAAATATAATAGGTGCAATATTTTAATTGGCACTAGAATACTAGAGCTGAAAGAGGGATCTGAGGGAAGGAAAACTGACAAGAAAGGATATTACTACTCAGATATGAACTCTTGTTCATCTGTAGCAATTGGTAGGCAACTAAAAAGAAACAAAAGAGCTGGCTACTAGTGCTGAGCAGTCATGATAAATTAGAGGAGTTGGAATGAGGCAAATCCAGATGCTTTGCAGCCAGAGTTCATGGATGAGAATTTCATACTACCAAAGTGATGGTGGTGAGTCACAATTCCTATTATATCTCACTTTTGGCCAAACTTGGAAAGGCAATTGAGGGATGAAATGCAGATCTGGAGTCACATTTTCCCAATTATATAATAAACCATTAATTTCAATCTCAATCTGTCTCTATCTCTCCCTCTCCCTCTCTGTGTGCGCAAGAGGGGGGAGGGAGATGGGGAGAGTAGGAGAGAGATGGTTTATTATATAATAGGGAAATTATGACTCCAGATCTGCATTTCAGCCCCAGTTGCCTTTCCAAGTTTGGCCAAAAGTGAGATATAATAGGACTTGTGACTCACCACCTTCACAGGTATCCCACACACACAGAGAGAGAGATAAAATATGATTCTTGAAGATGTAAAATCTTTAACCAGTGTCCCATTTCCCAGCATTCATGTAATACTTTAGAAGCCAATTGTAACTGAAGCTCAGAAAAAGGGCTACAGGGTGAGTAGAGGGTTTTTTTTCCTTTGAGTTTAATTTCTCCCTCCCGTCGTTTTTGAAATTTTGCATAGGTTCCACTTTACTTTAAGCAATGTCCAGCCTCATAACGCTGTGGTCAAGCCACTCTTTTCTCCCCCAGTTTCGGCATCCTCCACAGAAGAACCTAAGGGCACCAGGAATGAGGTGCTGCTGTCAAATGTACTGAAATTCAGCTTTAGCAGTTTAGTGTACGCCAACTCCAATTTGGAGCCTACTAGAGATGTTGGGCTGCAGCCTGCATCCTCCAGCAGATACCACAATGCAGGTTGGGCACTGATAGGAGTTGTAGTCCATCCTAAGGGCACCAAGTTGGAGAATGGTGGCTCAAAGATGAATCTCTTATGAACCGCTAGATGAGAAGGAATTCCACATTCACTTAATTCTCTCAATTACAGCCCCTCCTATTGCCTCAAATATTGTAAGATGAAGAAGCGCCCTGTAATTAAAATTGCCTTCTCCGTTTCTCCACCCGACCGCCTTGGGAACAAGCGAATATTCTGTCGGAGTAAGAAAATCCCCTTTTGTGACATGCCCCTTTAAAGCCTTCCCTTTAAGGAACCGAGCTCCGCCGCCCCTCCCCCTTCGCTGCCGTTCGGCCTCGCGACGTCTTTTTTCCCTTCCCCCCTGCTGTCCCACTAATGCTCTAAGTTTTCTCCTCACCTGGACCTTTTTCTTCCTTGCCGCGAACCTCGTTGCAATGAGGGGATGATGGGAGAACCTCCCCGGGGCTATGGGGGGAGGGGCACCCCCTCCACCCTCCTAATGGCTAGGGGCGCGAGACACCCAACCTTTACCTTGCTCACACTAACAGCCTGCGACGCCGGCCAACCCCACCTCTTTGCTCTTCTGCCATTGGCTACTCAGAACATCTTGGGAGTTGTAGTTTAAATACAAGCCTTTCGCCATCTTGGCTATGGGGCACGTGACCGCAAGGTACATATGTTGGAGGCAGGAAGCGCAACAGGAAGCGCTTTCTGTGCTAGTTCGATGTTAGGCGGCTGCGTGGTTGAGGCGCAGATTTGGGTGGGCGCAGAAGTGGCATGGTGCGATAAGAATTCGGGTATTAAGAACACATCAAAGTGTGCATAGATTCTGAAAGCATCGAGCATTTGTTTCAGTTGTTAATTACTCCCATGACAAAGTGTTTCTATCTGGTCCCTAATTACCTCGAAGGAACAATTGCATCAGTATTTGTAACGCCGTACTCCGTCATAATGTAAAGCTTTAATGCTAAGAAATGTTAACTTCAAAAAGATTGTGCATTAATTTTATTATTTATTTATTTATGTATTTGTCAAGCAAGTATTAGATAACAGATATAAGTATATAAGAATGGTTATGAATACATGAAATGGATACGAATTAAAAAAAACAATAGGACAGGAACGGTAGTCACGTTGGTGCATGCACGCTCCCTTTTTAGACAATACATAGAGTTTCAAAGTATCAGAATCATTGTTTAAACATAAAAAATGTATGTATGCTTGGATGTTAGTATAGCAAAATTTCTGAGTGATGGCTTTTCCAGAGATAGTTAGGATTTTTATTCATACAGTTTTAAAAGAGTTGGAATTCTTTGGCAAAGAGAGAGAGAGACCTGCTGCTGAGTGAAGTTTAATGTTCCCACCTACAGCACACCTTCACACACATCCAATCATGCAACTACAGGCTACATCATTGGTTCCCTGAATCACAGCAATGGTACCCCACAACTCATACATTTGTTTGCTTGGAATATATTGTTTGATCTATTCCATTCTTCATTAAATTTGTTAAGATTGGGTTCAATGGTTTATCTCTAATTGATCATCAGTTTTTTTCAGACATATCACACATAAGTGTATTACAGCAGCGGGCCCTAACCTTTTGGGCATTAAGGACTGGTTCCGTGGAAAGAGGTTTTTCTGTGGATCAGAGGGGGCATGGTTTCGTGTATTGACTGCATCCCATGGATTAGGCTTCGCTTGTTTGCGCAGCCCAGTTCCTGGCATGCTGTGGACCACTTCTGGTCCATGGACGGGGTTTGGGGACTCCTATATTATAGTACAGATAGCCCTCAGCTTACAACAATAATTGAGCCCAAAACTTCAGTTACTAAGTGAGGCAGTTATTAAGTGAGTTTTCTCCATTTTACAACCTTTTCTTCCACAGTTGTTTTTTTTTAAAAAACAAATTTTATTAATTTTACAATTAAAAAAACAAATCTACAACATATACACAAATAACAAAACAGAAAAAAGCAAGAAAGAAAGAAAGAAACGCGAAAAGAAAGGAAAAAGAAAGAAAAAGAAAGGGAGGGTGAACACTTAAAAACATTTTCCTTTTCGACAGTTTGTAAGATCTTTTCTTCTTACATTGTATCATATACGCACATCTTATCCATATCTATATTTGGATTACACTCAAATAAGTTTATCCCATTCTTTTTTTATACCTTATAATACACGATCTATCTTTGGTCTAACCATTTATACCAGGAATTCCAGTTGTTATAATATAATGAAGACTCTGTTTTTTAGGGCTAGGGTTAGTTTGTCCATTTCTGCACAATCTGAAATTTTCTGGATGATCATCTGTTCTGTAGGTATGTGAGGTAGTTTCCAACACTGAGCAAACTGGCTGCTGTTAAGATATGTATTATTATATACTTCATTTTTTTTGGTAACTGTTTGTCGAAAATCCCTAATAGCAAGGACTCTGGTTTATATTCAATTTGTTCTTTGGTTATCTCCTCTAGCCATTTTCTAACTCTTTGCCAGTATTTCTGAGTTTCTTTACATGACCACCACATGTGGAAAAAGGTTCCGTCTATACTTTTACATTTCCAACATTTTGGACTTGTGTTGGGGTGCATCTTCACCAACCTCGAGGGGGAAAGGTGCCATCTGTAAAACATTTTGTATGCGTTTTCTTTATAAGCTGCCGATTTTGTGATCTTATTGTTTCTGTTCCAAATCCTTTCCCATTCTGTTAATGTAATACTCCGTCCGACATTCCTGCTCCAAGCTATCATATTTCCTTTGACTATCTCTTGTTCTAGTTCTACTTCCAGTAAGTATTTGTAAAATTTAGTTATATTTTTTTTGTTTGATCCTAATAAAATTTTATCTAAGTGCTGAAGTTTGTTATAAATTCCGAAATCTTTATTATCTTGTTTATATCTACTATGGATTTGGAGATATACCCACTGATCAATTTTAAATCCTCGCTCTTGTAGTTCTTGTCGTGTTTTCAGTTTTCCTTGTGAATCTAATAAGTCTTTTTGTATTTGATCATTTTTGTGATGTCCAAATTGTTGGGATGAACCATTGCCTCCATTGTCGATAGCCAAATCGGTACTTTTAAATAGTGTTTTTTCCATACTTTTTTCCAATTGGTAAATAGTGGATCTCTGATTAGGTGTCTATGAAAATATGACTGATTGGGTTTCCCCACTTCCCATAAGAAGGCGTGCCAACCTCTCTGCAAATCGTGGCCTTCTAATAATAGTGTTCTTTGGTTAAGTAGGTTCACCCAATCTTTTAACCATAATAAAGTAGCTGCCGTATAATATAGTTCCCAGTTTAGAAGTGCTAATCACCCTCTACTCTTCAGATCCTGTAATGCCTTTATGTTAATTCTAGCTTTCTTTCCTTGCCAGATGAATTTGAGTGTTATCTTATTTAGTTCTTCAAAAAAAAATTATGCAATTTAATTGGAATCGTCTGAAATAGGTATAAGAATTTTGGTAAAATATTCATTTTGATAGAAGCAATCCTGCCCTATAGTGAAAGTTTCAACCTGCTCCATAATTCTAAATCTTTACTTGTTGCAACAATTTGTTATTCTCTTTAAGTGTCTTACATTGTGGTGTTAGCCATATTCCTAAATATTTAACTTTCTTTGTTACCTGTATTCCGATACTTACCTCTAATTCTTTTTTCTGGTCTTCTGTTAAGTTTTTGGTCATTAATTTTGTTTTTTTTTCTATTGATTTTAAGTCCTGCTACTGCGCTGAATTGTTCTTGTTCTTTTATCAATTTGTATCCTTTTTCTATTGGTTCCTCCAAAAAGAAAACCATATCATCGGCAAACGCTTGCAGTTTGTATTCTTCTGTTTTAATCTTCAATCCTTTGATTTCGGGATTTTGCCTGATACGTGTTAAGAGTGTTTCTAGAGCGAATATAAAGAGAAGAGGTGAGAGAGGGCAGCCCTGTCTAACTCCTTTTTCTATTTTTATTGGACCTGTGTGTTCCCCATTTATTAAGATATTAGCCTGTTGTGTGTCGTAAATTGTTGTTATGATATTTTCAAATTTAGTGCCTAGATTCATATTATAAATTTTTTGAATTAAGAAATGCCAATTTAAGTTGTCGAATGCCTTTTCTGCGTCTAAAAACATAAGTGCGAATTGTTTCTCAAGGTGGGCTTCATAAAATTCTAAGACATCTATTACTGTTCTTAAATTATTCTTTATCTGTCTAGTTGGGAGGAATCCATTTTGGTCTTCATGTATGTATGGGTTTAAAACTTGTTTTAGTCTATTGGCTATGATGGAGGAGAATATTTTATAATCGGTGTTTAGGAGTGAAATTGGTCTATAGTTGTTAATATATCTGTGGTCAGCTTCCTCCTTCGGGATCAGCGAAATCAATGCTCCCCTCCACGAGTCTGGCATCTTAGCTGCCAGTAATACCTCATTAAACACTTCCATCATAAGTGGTCCAATTAATTCCGCAATTACTTTATATAGTTCTGCCGGAATCCCATCTGGCCCTGGGGTTTTATTATTACTTTGATTCTCTATTGCTGATTTCAATTCGGACCATGTAATATCTTTATTTAATAATTCTATCCATTCATCTCCAATTACTTTGTCTTTCGTTTCCTCTAAGTAATTTCTTATTTTATCCTCATTAACTTCTTCTTTTTTATATAACTTTTCAAAATATTTGTGAATGATGTCTTTTTTCTTTTCTATCTCATGTTGTAAGTCGCCTTCTCGTCTATTAATTAGTATATCAATCTCTTTTCTTTCCCCTTTTTAAGTTTATAAGATAACCATCTTCCTGGTTTATTTACATATTCAAAATAAATTTGTTTAGTCATTTTCAAATTTATTTCAATTTTTTCTTGTTCCATTAAGTTCAATTTATGTTTGGTTGTTATTAACTGATTTTGTACTCTTTGGTTTTTAGGAGTTTTTTGTAATTGGATTTCTAATTCCTTAATTTGTTGTTGTAATTTGTTTTGTTGAGCATATTTTCTTTTATTTCTCATGGCATTATAAGAGATTGTTATTCCTCTTATAACTGCCTTCAATGTATCCCAGATATTTTGTTTTGAGGTTGCATCATTATCATTTTCCTTTAGGAAATAATTTAGTTCCTCTTTAAGCTTATTAATATACTCTTCTTCTCTTATTAGTTGAGTGTTTAATGTCCATCTTTTCTTTGATTTTTTCCTGCCTTTCCAAATTATTTGAATTGGGTTGTGATCGGCCCATTCATTTGGTAAAATTTCGATTCCTTTTATTTCATTTGCAGTTTCCCCATTCATCCACGCCATATCTATTCTTGTCCATATTTTATGAGAGTTAGAGTAATATGTAAATTGTTTGTCTTCTGGGTTTAATTTTCTCCATAAATCCACCAAATTTAGTTCTTTCATCATTTCCTTACAAGTCTTGGGAAACTCTCTTTTCCCTTTTTTGTTCTTGCTCGCATTACTATAGTCCTTTTGGTAATCAGCAATAGAGTTAAAATCGCCTATCATACAGATGTTCCTTTTTTCAAATATTATTTTTTAGTGTAAATATTTAAAAAAAAATTCTTGTTCTTCATTTGGTGCATAAATTGCTACCAATAGAAATGAAGTAGTATTAATTGAGATTTGTAAAACCAGAGTTCTTCCTTCCGGGTCTGACCAAATTAGATCTGATTTTAGGTCATCTTTCACATATATTGCAATTCCTTTCTTTTTTTGTTTATCTGCTGGTGCCGTAAATAACTTCCCTAGTTTAGGGCAAATTAAATATCTTTCATCAATTTTCCTAATGTGAGTTTCTTGTAAACATATTATGTCGGCGTTTTGTTTAATTAGTTTGGCTATTATCCTTTTCCTTTTAGTTGTCGAATTTAAACCATTTATATTGATAGATAGGAGTTTCTTTTCTTCCTCCATTTAGCTAGGTCTGTTTCGCTTTTTGTCTCGTGATAATTCGGCTCTCTCCTTGTAGTTGTTGTGGGATTGGTTCTTCTTTCTCTTGATGTGGGTAGTCGTTCCCTTGGCTTTGGGGGGGGTCCTTTTTTATTTCTATGGCGATTTCGGTCTTCCTGCGAATTTCTTTTTGATTCCTCTTTAGTATTTTGGTCTTCCGTGCCTACTAACTGTTCGTAAAAATCTTGTGCCCGTTCCATAGAGTCTATTTTGATTTTCCTTTCTTTCCATGGTACTAACATCCCTTCCGGGATTAACCATTTGAATGGAATTCCTTTTTGATTTAGATAACTGGCTAGGAATTTGTAATCTCGTCTTATTTCCCTTACTTTCCTTGGGATTTGCTTGAGGATCATAATCTCTTTGCCCTTGTACATTATTGTTCCATCTCTCGACAGTCTGAGTATTATATCTCGCACACTCCTTGTGAAATGGATGTGAACCTCTCTCGGACATTTATGGTGTCTTGCGTAGTTGGTACTGACCCTATAAACTTCATCAAATTCCTTGAGTATGTCGTCTTTATCTTTTCCTAACAGTTCAGCCAGTATTTCTGCCATTAGCTGCTCCAGTTCTTCTTCCTTCGATTCCTCCACATTCTGAAATCTCAGGTATGCAGCTGCCTTGTCCATTTCTAGTTAGACCAAGGAATCTTCCATTTCTTTGCTTACATTTTTTAATTCTTCGTCTACCCTTTCTAGATTCTTTTCCGTTCGTTCCGTCCTTGTCTCTATTTCTTTTATCATTGTTTCATTTTTTTTCCATAGCCTGTTGTAATGTCCCAATCTTGTCCTCTACCTTAAGTATGTCCGCTTTCATCTCAGCTTTTAGCTTTCACTGATATCCACTCTTGTTTCATTATGATTTTTGATCATTATTTCTTGCAGTTTTGACATTGATTTTTGCAAAGTTAGCAGAGTAGATTGTATATTAGCATTCGAGACATTGGATTGTTTTTCTCCTGTTAGGGATTCTTCAATAGTTTTTTGAATTGTAGGGGAAGCTGTTGCCAGGGTGGTTGTTAAGGTCGGGGTAGTCTTCCTTCCCGTTTTCAGGGCCGTGGTTGTTGTAGAAGTCATTTCTTTTAGTATTTGTTTTTGCTGTTGAATTATGTTAATTATGTTGTCCCAAATTATCATTCAGTGTTATTACCCTTATGATAAAATTTCAATGTCTAATTGCTTGGACTACCTATCTATTAAGTGGTTAAATTCAGTACTCTCAACTAGAAGTTAAAATATATAAATACGTATTATTTTTGGTCTTATGTCTTCAATCAGGCATGTAGTTTGCACAATCTATATTCCAATATTATAGAACACTATCCAACACTATATAATATTCTCTATGATAAATTTATATAACAAATATGTATAGCAAGTAATATATCAAATCAAACCAGATTTCAACTTTATAAAATTATAGGTTTTATAAATCTATATAAACTTTTATCTAATCTTATATCTTAGTATTAAGTATTCTAAGTATTCTAAATCAGCAATATTTTAGTCCAAAATAATATTACTCTTCCCCCAATAAGTTAATTATATTCACACACTAAATTGTAGTACTTTAACCTTTGCTAATTACTGTTTAGCATTTAATCTTCTACTTACTAATTATAAAATTCTTAACCTTGTTATTATTTTCCCTATCCAACTGGTCGGAGTATGACAATCCTTATTGTTACTAATTATTCAAAGCAATTAAATCAATTAGCAATTAAATCTAGCAATCAGTATATCTTTTCTAAGTAAATAAATTTATAGCTATTATAAAAAGAAAGTGAAAAGAGAAAAGAGATTCGCCTTAATGTCAAAGAGTCAGTAAATAGAAGACAGGATAAGAAGTTTAACAGAGTAATACCAAGGGAAAATTGCAAAAGAATAAGGTAGAGTGGTAAGAAAATAGAATTTTAAGGTCAGGTTTAAATCCAACGTTTTTGGGATTTTGTAGTTCTCTTCAGACACACTGGAAGGAGGGAGGTAAAAAGTGCTGAATAATCGCTGTCAGCAATCAGTCTCTTCCCAAACTTCAATTACTCTCCCCCCCCCCCCCCAATACTTTTAAGTTCAATATCTTAATCTCCTTCACTTACTGCCTTCACCTCAGTCAGTTTAGGATCAAATAATGTTCTCCAAATCAGTTAAAGGTCAATTGAGCAAATAGTGTCAAATAGAGTCTGTTATTTTGTTGCGCTAAATTCAAAGATTCAATGTATCACATTTAGCGCCGCATTTCTTTCTCTTCCGTAGCCTCTCTCCTCTTCAGGTTTTAAACCTAGGGAATAGTCCAATGTAACAATCCACTCAAAAACTTGAATCCACAGGTCTCCTAATCTTTCCAACAGTTTCTTCTTCTACTCACAGACTTCTCCTTTCAAACGCTGTAATCCACACTTTCACTTCCGTCTGCCAAGCCTTTCCACCCATGCTAATCACACTTTTGCTTTTCTAGCCGCTTTTCTCTCGGGCTTCCGACAGATATAACACACAATAAAAGGAAAAGAAATCACTCTCCGGTCTCACTCTTCACTGGTAAAGTCTTTCTGCACCTCTTTCTCCACCGATCTTACAAGCTGTCACTTTCTCGCTTTGTCACATCGGAGGCAGTCCGGACTTTGGAGCCGCCATTAACAGGCGGCTGACTCTTTCGCGCTGGGCTTAGGGGATCTTCTCTTCGCTGCCAGGGGGTTGCCTTCCCCCACACTGCAACCCGAGGGTCCCCTACACCGACACGAATCTCTCCGGGATTCGGGTATCCTCTGGGGATCGCACCAAACGCAAGAAGAGGTACTCTGAAACCGCAGCTGGGCTTCTCCACCTCTGCACGTCCCTGTCCTGCCACCGGAAGGCTTCTTCCACAGTTGTTAAGTGAATCTGAATTCCCATTGCTATCTGTATTTTACACTAAATATTACTAAGGGATGGCTGATGGAGGGAGGGGCTTTTGCCTTTAATGGATTGATAGCAATAATGGAAAAATGCTTAGAATACTATGATAGTTCAATAGGGAAAAATTAAATGGAGGAAATGTATTAATTTAGTTGTAAGGAGTGGAATTAAAATTCAGAATAAATATATTTCTAGTGTGTACATGTGTATGCAGGTTTTCTGTCTTGTTCACAGTAAATCTGGCCTGAAGCCAATTAAACAATTACACAAAACCAAAAATATTCAGTTAAATATTATATTATAGAAAAGCTCAGAAGCCGTTACAAAAGATTTTGTGACTATTGTGCATCAAAAGTGATTCCTATTTGTAGTGAAATCAATTTTTTTTTCTAATTTTGCTACTCTTTCTCTTGTCCAAATTATGCAGTGAGCTTCATGGTTTCCTCCTTTGGGTGGGAGAGCCAATTTCCATTTGTTTGTTATTTTGACAGTAGACAAACAATATACCAATGTTTTTCTTTGACCAGGTAGAGTATCCCATATCCCAGCTTATTTCCAAGGTGTGTTTCAAAGTTCTTGCCCTGTCAATGTCCTGGGATATGATTATTTGTAATGTGCTCTGATATAAATCAGTATGGTTGGATGGAGATTGCTTTCAGTCCCATTAGCAAGCTCACAAACAATTTCAACATTTTTTTTCTCTATCTCTTTCAGTCCTAGCGAGCATGACCTAGGTAACTTGCTGAGTTGTCCTAGCTAGCAGTTACATGGCGTCCTGGGAGCCAGCCTAACTATTAGCCTACTGGAAGAGATCCAGCATGTTCCAGGACTGAGGTGTGAAAGCATAGTTGACAAGAAATTACACAAACACTTTTGCTGTTACACAACAGCCTTTTGGCTGTTTTCCTAACTAGTGATCAGAAAGTCAGAATGTCAATTGTGAATAGACAATCAGAGTTTATATTTCACTACAGAACATCCATCAGAAGTTAGATAGTGCCTATTGCATTTTAAAAGTTCTGAAAGTTGTTATAATGCACACCAGAATCAACTTTTTTGCCCTCTGAAACTGTTTCAATACATGTTTAGATAAAGTTCTAAATTCTAATCTTAAACATATAGAATGAATTGAGGAACCAATTACCCAGATTATTTTATTCTGAATAAATCTATACAAAATAAAAAGGTACACACACACCTTTCCCTGGAAAACAGAATTATTGTAGGATTTTTTTCTGTTCATCTTGCTACATATAGTAATTGTTTAGAAGAATCAGAGAGTTATATGTTAAAGTTGGAATTTCCAGCTTGATCTTATTTAGCACTGGCATGCATAAAATAACTGATTTTATTTAGACTTTTCACAAATGAGATAGTCTATAGCCCTAGTAAAAAAGTACATTGGTTTAATTAAATTGAAAATGTTTAAGCTGGAAATATTTGAATGGTGCCTTCCAGCTCTGTGATTTAGTGATCCTGTGTTTATATGTGATCCAATAAACACCTGCATGAGTGTAAGCATGGGAATCCAACTTTAGGACAATCTGTCATTCTTAATTACATTTTAGTGACTACAAAGCTTATGTGAAGCTAAGGATTTGCACAGTTCAGTTGAACTAACTTGTAGATGCTCCTTAGTGATCTTTCAGAGGGTGTTTTTAAAAAGATGTCAAGCATGCTTAGTCTCTGGACAGCTTAGCGTGCCTCAGAATTCATCAAATTTCAAAAAATTTAAAAAGTTTTGCAGTGCTGTGAGATGGGGAGAAAAGGCAGAGAAGAAGCCTTAACATTTAATGCCTTCTTTTCAAAAGGTATAAGGAGCACAAAGTTTGGCCATTGACCTTTATTTGGATTAGAGGAGAAGTGACAAAAGGCTGAAAGACATTGAAAGAAATCTGGCAGATCCATTTTATTTACTATGTGCTTGTTCCAGGATTGTTGACGACAGCTGCACTACTCTGAACAGGACTGGAAATCTAAATCAGATGGAGAACGACATTCCTGGATTGGTGCCATGATCAGAATTAAAAGTGTTGTGTGGCCATAGGCACAGTGAGCCAAGCCACTGCAAAGTTGGAAAGGAACACAAATGGGATTGCCACCTGCCTGCCTGAATTTTGTTTGCTGTTAGCAGCAGTTTTCTTGCTTTCTTTTTAGAAGTTTAGAGCAATTAAAGCTTTTGGCAATTAGATGAATGATTTACTTTAACAATATATGCACAGTAAATGACTTCAGACTATGTGCTGACAAATGCATTAATTGAGGACAGGGGAAAAATACTGTATAAAAACACAAATGAGTATTTTGAATACTTACATTTCTGTGCCTAGTGGAAAACTTTCAGAAGAGAATTTGGTGAAAACAGAAAAGAAACATTGCACATCTCTCCTCAAATGTGAGGTGGAAATCTTACAACTGCTTGTTGGCTTGTTGTATTATAGGTATGATGACTTTTTAATCACTTGTCTTGTAGAATCTCAATAAAATTCTGAATACTATAAGGACTTAATCCCAAACAAATGGGAAAAGGAATTTAAATTTTTTTAGTAATATTGTGCTTTGTACCATCTTTAAGTGACAAATGTGAGTTCTATTAGTGGATTGCCTGAACCTGACTAGCTGGTCTTTTATAACATAAATATTACATAGTTTTCATTTAGCGCACCATAGTAGCAAGAAAATTAAGTTTAGAATGGAGATTGGACAAAATCTTTGACTAATCATTCAACTTTATCAAATCTATCTGAAAAGGATTTTTCCTGATACTAAGTTGACACACTATACATCCATCCATGAGTTGGCAGAAAACTTCCAATATAATTTTTTTTATCCCTATTGCTGACCTATGTCTTTTCTTTATTGTCTCTATTTCAGGTCACAGCATCCTGTGGGCTTCCCTGAAAAAGCCTATTAGATTTTATACTACTTGATATTGCCCTGTGGATAGTGTTGAATGAGATTCATGTATGATAACATAATTGCCACAACTTACCTACTTGCTTCTAATGTAGAGGAGTAAATTCATAATGGTGGATTTTGTGTGATCATGTCACCATGTGTGTAGTCATTTCCAAGGTCCCTTTCAATTCTGTTAATGTTACTGTTACGTAGGAATTCAGTCCAAAGAGAACATGGTCCTCAACAGCTGCTTAAAAATGGTAGGCTTTAGTGGCTGCTTAGTCCTTCATTCTGTCTATTTATCTGACTCTCCAACTTCAGAGAATAGCTAATTTTTTGTCAATAAAACAAAGTCGGAGTCTTTGTAAATGGGCTGAGAATAAGCACTTTTTCATGGAACAATAGAGAAGTAGCAATAGAAGTTTTTTAAAAAGCTAAGGGTAAAAACAACTGGTTCAAAAATTCCTAGAAACTTTCCCCCTAAATTTAGCTCATGATATGGCTCTGGAAGATCGTCATATATTTCCACCCACTCCTGCCGTGTGTTCTTAACAATGGTTAACTGAACTGTAACCTTTGGGTAATTATTTCAGATATTCTTCAATGCCTTCAATGATGATATAACTTAAATTCTTAAAAATTCAGGGAGAGCTTCAGATATACCGTATTTGCCGGCGTATAAGATGACTTTTTTGCCCCGAAAAACATGCCTCCAAGTGGGGGGGTCGTCTTATACGCCGGTATATCCACTGCCGGCTTTCGGATGCTTGTTGGACGCAGCGAAGGCGCCTCTGGCTTCCTGGATCCCCTGCGTCGCTTCCGCTTCATCCCGCTCGCCTCGCTCCGCCCGAGGCTGCAGCCTTCCTGCTCTTCCCACGGCCCCTGGCACTCTGCCCTGCCGCTGCAGCCCCGGGGATTTCTGGAGGGCGTTTCCGGTGGTGGTGGGGGGTCGTCTTATACGCCGGGTCGTCTTATACGCCGGCAAATACGGTATATGTTTTCAGAGCTTCAGATATATATGTTTGCATAGCACATGCTCCCTTGTTACAGAATTGAAGGTTCAAGGTATACCATGCCAGACAGTTTTTTCTAAACGTTTTTGTGAGCTCTGATGATTCTCTACTAAATAACTGGAAATGTTTCAACACTATTATAGAAACTCAGACATCCCAAGGCACATGTGCTCAAATTCACATAGAGTTCCAAATTACCCTGGCCTAGGAAACCAATTATAACATGGAGAAGAAGTCTAGCATGTCCTCTTTAAAGCAGTGTGCATCAGTTACAAACTTTGCTGATAATAAAATAATTACTGCTAAGGTTACAGGATATCATGTACTCAGAGACATAACTTTATCTTTGGCTTATAGTGTTGACTGAAAAGTGTTGTAGGAAAGATTAAAAACAAACGTTTGCAGAGTTTTGAGATACCATCTGTTAGTTCCCTATTGTGATCTCATTCTCAACAATCTTTCCCTAACTCCTGCATTATGATGTCACCAATAGACTTTCTAATCAGAACACCAATAAGAGTTTTGGATATTTGAAGATAAGCTATCTCCTCAGTGCCTGGAGTATCTGATTTTCTTTGTACAACTTTTTAAAAATAAGCTATATAGTGATAGTTGACCTTTCTGCTTATTCCACATCAAGCATCCCATGTTGCTGCAGCTGAGTTATTGTTTATTGTTATTGATTAAAAGTCTTCTTTTCTTCCAAATTCTGATCATTACAAATGCATTATGGTTCAGGACAAATCCTTTATCAAATTAGAAAGGTTAGTCCATTGGCATCAGTCCAGGGTAAGTTCAGTTAGCAAAGCAGTATAGATATATTATACCTTGGATTAACTTTATGGACACTTTTTCTGTACTGTAATGTTAATGTTGACTGTTGTGAAATGTATTGAGACTTCAGACATCCAGTCAAGATGGATACATTCTAATAACACTTATTAGATTGGGGAAATGAGCATGGGGTTTGATTTCAGATTTCCCCTGAAGAACTAAGCATCGCTGCATCCATTTAGATGGTACCTATATTATGGGCCACAAAACAAAGTTGAGAAGAGATCAAAAAGTTCTGGAAAGAGTTGCAGGGAAGGATATCTTGTCCTAAGAACATAAGGGTATGTGTGGTCATGACCTGACTCCAGGAGAGCAACAGTCCCTGAAGTCTGCCCAAGCTATCAGATAACTATGATGCAATAATTATGGCAGGCTGCCATTGGTTGTAAACTACATTTGCCATGATTTCATAGGATATGCTGAGAGTATTTGACTTTGGTCGTATAATAGTAGCAGATACAGATTACAGATACAGATTAACAGAGTTGGAAGAGACCTTGTAGGTCATCTAGTCTATTCCCCACCCCCCAACCAGACCTTACACCATTTTTGACAGATGGCAGTCCAGTTTCTTCTTGAAAACTTCCAGTGATGAAGCTCCCACAACCTCTGAGGGCAAAGCTGTTCCATTGGTTGATTGGTCTCATCGTCAGAAAATTTATCTTTATTTCCAGGTTGAATCTCTCCTTGTTCAGCTTCCATCCATTATTCCTTATCTGGCCTTCAGGTGCTTTGGGAAATAGCTTGACCCCCCCCCCCTCCTCTCTGTGGCAGGCCCTCAAATATTGCTGCTATCATATCTCCCCTTTCCTTCTCTTCACTAGACTAGCCATGCCCAGTTTCTGCAGCCGTTCATCGTGTGTTTTAGCCTTCAGTCCCCTAATTATCTTGGTTGCTCTTCTCTGCAATCTTAGAGTCTCAACATCTTGTTTATAGTGTGGTGACCAAAACAATGCAATACTCTAGGGGTGGTCTTACTAAGGCCTTATAGAGTGGTATTAGTACCTCACTTGATCTTGATTGTGTCTCTCTGTTAATACAATTTAGGATTGCATTGGCTTTTTTGGCTGCCGCCACACACTGTTGGCTCATATTTAATTGGTTGTCCACTATGACTCCAAGATCGCTCTCACAGTTACTGCTGTTAAGGGTTAGGATTAGGGTGCTGAAGTCTATATTATGTCCACAGTATTTTGCTGGTTTACTAATTTAGTCACTGTTGAAAAATGAAATAAGATTGGTTTGGCATGATCTGTTTTTTAACAAACCCATGGTGATTGCTGCACCAAAGGCAATTGTGTTATTGAGAGCACATCATGCTCTCTTGTCTGGAATAAGTTATCAGTGTTAGGGGAGATTTCTGTCCTTGCTGAAATTAGTTGAAATAAGAAATCAATGTATTGTTTCTAGGTTACATAATATTGAGTGTTTCTGTAGTGTGTATCAAAAGAGTAGGTCTATGCCAAAAGATTCTTATAGTGTAGGAATCTTGAAACATGCCCACCCACAACATTTCTGACAACATTGAGGTCGTGTCTTCATCACTCATTGGCTTTTCACACCTGAACTATCAATTTTCAAAAGAGTTTACAGGCAGAGGATTAGACTTCTTCACCATCTGCCTAAAATTCAGCAAGATTGGCATGCAGCATAGCACATTCAGTCCTCGTCAACAAAATTATTATCAAGACTTGACTTCAAAACTTGTTCAACCTTTTGCTTAATTGTAAGACATGGGCCCATACTTTCTTTTCCTGGCTACCCCAACCAACTTCAAAACAAGTATCAAGGCACCCTTTAATACCAACAATGGGCAGATTCTTTTTTGCCCTAGATAATCTGGTTATCTTAAATTCAAAATTACTTACATTAATTTCTGTGCAAAAGCTAAAAGAGAAAACTACCACTGTCTTAGTAATAACAACAAAATCCCCTAACCTGGCCATATAAATGTATTAGTAGTAGATTTTGTTTTGAGCATAAATTTCCAAGCTTTGCTGACACTAATAATTATGGGGGCTGACAAATGAATAACTCTTTATGTTACTTTTTCCCTAGGAGACTGCCAGCCAGTATTAGCCAAGAATATCTTTTAGAACATCTGAGATGTATTTGCATATGAAATATGTGGAAAAAGAAAATCACAAAAAGGGTTTAGCTTTGCCACCTTGAGGTATCAGCCATAAGAAAAATGCTTGCAAAGTAGTCAGAATTTATTTGCACATCTTGGTTAATAAACAGGAGTTTGCCTCTAAAGATATTCAGGCTGACTTCCGATTTGTCCTTCATCCTTCATTTTGAAGTGAGCATGTGTATGCAGTGTTGTTTTTCAACTGTTCAGTCACCACTGACTTTTGATACAAGGCCAGGACTTTCCTGGCAGAAATTGCTTTTCCAAGTTCTTGAAACTCATACTTGTATTATCAATTGTTGTACTTAGTCATCTTTTCTTGGCTTTTTTTATTGCCAAGCATCAGAATCTTCTCAGATGCTCTTACCCTTAAATTATATGCTCCAATTATCTAGGCTTTAGCTTTAGCTTTACTTTGTCTAGTATTGAATTATTATTCCTTCTCCTTTTGCTCTTTCTTTTCTGCATCATTAAAGTTCAAGAAAACTAGCATGATCAAACCAAAGAAGCTAGATTGACACAGATTTCAGTAAGATATCTTTAATGTGGCTCTAGAGTATATGTTGAATCATGAAAAATACACTAGTGAATTAAGGTAGAATCTCTTTGAAATTATTTTTTGGCAGATATCTCCCACTTGGGCTGAATTACCATTTAGAAGGCAATCTATCAACTGACTCCCCTATTCTTTCCCAGCCTCTGCACAATATCTCACATCTCAGCTCTTATCCCAGCTCTCTTAAAAGCAACCAAGTATATGTTTTCACAAGAAACTTCAAGGATTTTAGAGATACTGCATTTTGTATTTACAGGCTGAGTTAAAAGACTTGGTTGGAAAAGGTCAAAGTTGCTTCATTTAGTCGAAGGGCAGAATTAATTGAGACTGACACATGTACCAGACAATGCCTCTTCCTCTCACCCTTCAGCAGTTCAACTTTCTATCCATCCATCCATCCATCCATCCATCCAACCTACCTACCTACCTACCGACTGACCGACCAACCAACCAACCATCCAACCAACCATTTTAGAGCTACAATATAGGCTGGGTCCCACACCCTTGGGCTTCCTCCCTGCTTTGCTCCACATACTTCTGAAGATCACCTCTGAAAGAGGATGAATCCATGTACCATATAGCTTTCCTGTACAGAAACTGCCTTGTACCATCCTGGAAGCAGGGACCATTTTGAACTATAGAATTATGACCATTTCCAAATTGGCACCCATTTCTGGAATGATATAAAGTGGCTTCTCTAAAAGAAAACCACATGGCACATTGACCACTTCTCTTTTTTGTTGTTAGTTGCAAAGTTGTGTCTGACCCATCGCAACCCCACAAACAATGACAGGCCTTCCTGTCCTCTACCATCCCTGGAGTCCATTTAAAGTCATACCTACTGCTTCAGTGTCTCCATTCAGCCACCTCATTCTCTGTCATCCCCTTCTATTGCCCTCAATGTTTCCTAGCATTAGGCTCTTCTAAAGTGAGTCCTTTTCCTTAGGTGGCCAAAGTATTGGAGTTTCATCTTCAGGATCTGGCCTTCTAAAGAGCAGTCAGGTTGATCTCCTCTAGGACTGACTGGTTTGATCACCTTGCAGTCCAAGGGACTCGCAGGAGTCTTCTCCAGCACCATAGTTCAAGGGCCTCAATTCTTTGGTGCTCAGCCTTTCTTATGGTCCAACTTTCACAGCCATACATTGCAACTGGAAAAACAATAGCCTTGACTATACACACTTTTGTTGGCAGGGTGATGACTCCTTTTTAGTATGCTGACTAGATTTTATTTTTATTTTTTAGATTTTATTTTAAAAAAATTCTTCTCTTTTAGAAAGGTGATTTTCGAAGAGGACATGTGGCCTTTTACAAAGGCTGCTTTATACCATTCTAGAAGTGGCTGCCACTCTTGTGAGTTCACAGAAGGGCTTCCTTCTGAGATATTGTACAAATGGCACCCACCTTCAGAATGGCATGAAGTCTGCAGGAAGGTAGAGCATTGTATGGCCTGGGTGTTATTTTGAAAAGTGTTCTATGGAAAAGGTAAGTGGAGCAAGGCACGTTGATGCAGGGAAGAGGACCAAGGAAGTGGGATCCAGTGGGGCAGGAAGCTGTACAAGTGATGCCTCAAGGGATAGGGAAGCCCTGGGGAGGGGGGGCGAGGTACAGGCCACATGTGAGCTAGGGAGGTGCTGCAATGAGGGGCTTTTTTGATAGCCTGTCCCTACCCCAAGGCACCCTGTACTTCACATAACGACTCATGTGGTCACTTAATCACAATGGGGAGAGCCAAGATTGTGGTCATTAAGTGAGGTTATCATATGAGTGCCTCACTTAATAACTGCAACAATGTAGGACTGTAATTCTAGGCCCAATTGTGGTTATAAGTCAAGAACCACCTATAATGATGTTCTAAAAATGGCTATCAATAAAACTAGTAATGACTTTAATTCTGATTTTAGGAAAGCAAATATTTGTGAAGCTATATAAAAAGAGAGACCAAAAGAAGATAGATATGCCTGAGTATATCTCCCCCACATCCCCCAGGAATGTGGTGGAATACTCAGAGGATAAAATAAGAATTTTACTTCACATTACTAACAAGGAGTATATCATACATCTGAATGTTAATATAAAAAATATCAAATAAAGAGGACTATGTTTGATTACTGGCTGAATGTTAATAAGGAATTGATAATGAAGGGAAACATTAAGAAATGTGATTTGCAGTCTGAAATGACAGAGCGTATTTTAGTATAATATTCTACAGGTAGTCCTTGACTTAAGACTACAATGGGGACAGAAAAACTCATCCTTAATAACTATCCTTGGTAAACTGTGGTTTGTGACTTTCCTATTGACTGTCTTGTCAGAAGTTGCTTGGAAAGATGCCAAATCAGAGACCTGACTGCAGAATGCTGCAGCCATTGTAAATGTGTGATGGCTGCCAATTGCCCAAATTGTAATTATGTGACCATAGAGATGCTGTGGTAGTGTTAAGTGGGAGAACCAGTTATTTTTATCAGTTGTAATCTTGGATGGTTGCTAAACAAATGGTTGTTAAGTGAAGACTGTTTGTATTACTGCCTTCTGCCAATTGTGTGGTTAAGAAAACTAAGAAAAGAACCAAGGATTTTAAAAAATGGTAAGCCATAAAAAGATTTTGGGAAAAGACTGACAAAATGACAAAAAGGAAGGACTGTAATAATTAGCAACAAGGCCAAACAAAAGAGAACTAAAAAAATGTGAGAGGAGGGGAATGAAAGCATTTTGTAGCTTGGAAATTGGGGAAAAAGCTGAGCTTTTATATTTTGACTCAGATTTAGTTTAATATTATCTCTTGGCTTCAAACCGAGATAATCTTTCTTTAAAATAATATGGCAGTAGAACCTGAAAAGAATATAAGCACCAATATATTGTTTACAATATAAATCTATACACTTTATTTACAACTGTACACTTCAGTGAATATTATAGCATTAAATCAGTTATATACATACAGTGCTGGAATCACAACAGCATCAATTTCAGAACCCCAGTTTTATGCTCTCAGAAACTCTGGACAATTTTACCACATAAAAATCACAGGACTTCTTGCAATAAAACCTCACTTTGCCATCCTTTAGTTAGATAAGCCTCAGCAGAGCTGACAAAGAGTTATATAACTGTTCATTTATCATCTTTATATCCAAGTTTCTTGGGTAATTTAAAAAAATGACTCCATGCTTCACAACAATATCAAATAAATTTCTTGCATTTGACTGCTGTTTTAGGAAAGGGGGTCACTAATTTTTACCTCATTCATTCATAGTGTCATGCCCCCTCAGAGCCTGAATCTGCAGAAGAAGATGAGCCAGAACTGGAGCAGATGGAGATCAAAGGGGCAGCTTTGTGGGTGTCAGAGGAATATGGGGAGGAGCAGGCCAAGTCAGGCTAGGGCCTTTCAGGATTGGGACACCTTGTAGGCAGGGAAGAATGGGGGTAGGATGACCAAGAGAGGCTAAGCAGTGAACATGAGAGACAGAGTTCAGGCAATGAGCAAGGACCACCCCCTCCTGATCCTCAAGCATGGAGAGTGGAGAGAAAGTGGGAACAGTGCAGGCTTACCCAACTACTCTGGAGGAGAGTGCCTACCCCACTCCATGTGGGGATTGAGATTTAAGGAGACGCTGTGGGGAGGGGCATTTGTCAGAAACAAACACTGAGTATTGTGTGCCATTGCCAATGTTGGATGTTTCCTGGACTTCTTGTTTTATTTCTTGCTTCCTGGATTAATTGCTTTGTTCCTTTGCTTCCTGGACTAACTGACTTATTCCCTTGCTTTGCTGGGTTTCTTGTTTTGCAGCCATTGTGCTCAAAGCATTGTGCTGGACTTGCAGCCAAAGGCTGCTGGAGAGGTGTGTGTGTGTTATCACTTTGCTCTGGGACTTGTCACAATTGTGGGAGCATTTGGGGAACATTTTGAACAATAAAGGGGCAGTTTGAACTGTCAGCTCTCGCCTCTGTGCCATGTCCCAGGTCATCATCATAATTATAAACTGTCTCCATTTTATCTCATCCAAAATGAATGAAGGAAGCTATGAGTGTTTGAGACTTTTTCACTTGGTTCCTTTCAAGAAGCTTTAAGAATTTGAGGGATAATTCTTGATTAAGGAAAGTGTCAGGTCCACCATCCTGTCCTGCCATTCTGTTGGAAGGAGGGGGGAGGAGGTTCGCTGGCATTTTCACATGCTTTGATTGTAACTGAGAATTAGGGAGGGAGACTGTCTTCAGAGATGGAGCAGATTATCTCCCAGCCTGACTTTAAGGCTGTCCTGCTCTGAGGGTGACCTGTTATCTTCCTATCACTTCAGAGTTTCCATAACAACCTTGTGGCATCACATTGGCTGCCGGTAGATTGATCAGGGGGGTTAGATTTGGGGAAACAAAAAAATGCTGTTTGCATCGCATGGACTTTTTCAGATTTCACCTTGCTTCCCTGCAATAACTTTCTCTCAGTAAAAGTTATTTTGATTCAATTTAGTGCATTCAAGAGATTTCCTTTCCTGAAGGACTACCTGAGGCAGGTCCTTACAGAAAGACAACTCAAATCTTTTGAAACTCTGATCTAGAACAGAGACAGGAAATTGGAAAGCAATACTTCCAAGATTAATTCACATAAGTTTTCCCTGAATCGGCTTCTCTTTCCTTGCTCAGTAAGCAGCTTGTTTTGTTTCCTAGTCATCTTTTGTCTGTTTCTCTGGATTGACTGATTTTTACCAAACAAAATGTCTTCATTAGGTGATGGTATCTTTGGTCCTTTCAAAGCTAAGGTGACATTTCAAACCTCTTGTTTCTCCTTGCAATACTCTTGGTCTTTAGCATCGCCGAGTAGTGCCAAGAAGTTCTCTGCTGGGTCGGACACGACTCTTTATTTCCGGTAGCAACCAAGGTGTTTTGATGTAATTCATAATCACCTTGGCAGGGCTACGGAGTGCTGGGTTGGGTGTCAGGAGCCCTTGCAACATTTCTAATGCTTGGGGAGTGAAATGTTCCCAATGGGCTGGAAGTGAAACAAAACGGGGGCTACGATGCCAGGAGACAAAGCTGCGATAATGCTGATCAGAAGGCACAGCTGTAAGCCAGGGGAAGTAGCCAGTTAGCACACAGAATAACAGCACTCCAAGAGCCCAGGTGTCAAGGCTGGGCTGGGCTTCCAGATGAGCTTTGGGGCCCAGGACACACATTTCAGGTGCAGTATAAGGCAAACTTTCAGGCAAAGCCTTAATGGCTTGGCCCCTCAGGCAGCTCAGCCCAAAATCAGTCAGCTTGATGCGCCGGCATTCAGGGTCACAAAGCAGTACATTTTCTGGTTTGACATCTCGATGGATTAGCCCTTTGGATTCCATGTACTCCAGGGCACTTGCAAGCTGCAGGGCACAGCGTTTTATCCGTTGCTCAGGTATGCCAACCTGGAAATATAAGATGACATTTGTAAGCCACAGCCTCACAGTTGTCCTAGAAATGAGGAGAAATATCTGGATCCATTACTTGGTCCTTTTGAACTCTTAGAGGATAATTAAAATAGGATTCTTCATGATCTTAAGGTACTTTTTAAATATGTGGTGGTTCTTTTTAACAGCTTACAGCTGATTTACCAATTTGATCTGTAAGGCCAGCAAAGGGAACACAAAGTCTTTTAAAAGCACTCACATTTCAGGCAGCTTTCCAAGAAGTAACTTGAGACATAAACAAGAAGAGGAAACCGGCATAAGCTTGGGTTGTGTTCAGTGTTTATCACATAATACAAACAGTGTCTGGCATCCAAAAGCTAGTATAGAAGATAGTTCGTGTCTCTTTCTAGTTATATATTTTCAAAATATAATAATTAGAACTTTTTTTTAATAAACAGTTGATGCCATCTTCAAAGAAGTACTTTCCCTTCTCTCACAGTAGGAAGTACCTTTTTCTGAGCAACTGTCCTCTACAACAGGAATGTGTGCAACAGTTAAAGACATGCTTTTTGACTCAAAATATTTCTTCTATCCATGAGTACATATAAGGAATAAATGTATAATAATAAATAAGTGCACATAAGGAATAAATCAACCAGCTGGAATTTTGCAATCCAAAAAAGCAAATTTGAATTCAATCTCATCACCAAAAGCATGGTTTATACATGGTTTATATAGGCTGAAAGTTCATTATATAGATTAGATAGCCTTGGGTAATAGAAGGAAGATGATATATAAAATTTCTAAATGAACAGGAATAATTCCAGTGTTAGGGAGAGCAACGAAAGTACTGTCCACATCCTTAATGGGAAATCTATCTCTCTATCTCTCTCTCTCCCTCCCTCCCTCCCTCCACCTCTCTTTCTCCCTCTCCTTCCCCCTCCCCCTCTCCTTTCTCCATCTTTCTCTCCCTCTCCTCTTCCCCTCCCCTTCTCCGTTCTCTGTCTCTGTCTTTCTCCCTCCCTCTTCCTCCCCCCCCCCCCTCTTTCTCTCTCTTTCCTGCTGTCTCAAGACCACAGTCCTGGGAAAGCTCAGGATGTCGTGCCTAGTACTACTAAAATTCATCCCCACAAAGACCCTCAATTGAGAAAATTGCGAAGACATCAATTGGAATTCCAATGGCTGAGTGTGCGTTTGAATCTCCCTATCATCACTTGCATTACAAAGTAACTTTGGTAGCAGCCTTTTTCTTTTTTGAAATATCTTGATGATGGATTATGCGTGTTGAAGGATGATTTCTGCATGTTTCACTATTTGTCATCTCATCTGTTTAGATACTACTGTAAATTATTTGTTGTAGGTACTTACCTTTGGCACCATGAGAGAGTAGAGGTCACGAGCCAATGCCAATTCTTGTGCAAAGACATAGTGTTGGGGAGTTTGGAAGGCAATCCCAAGGGCAGTGGCAATGCAGGGGTGCGCCCCCAAAGTCAGTGCAATGCAATATTCACTAAGGAAATCCTGTAGTTCTGTATCTTTTTTATGTACAAATTTCAGTGCCATGGGGGTTCCTGAAAGAGAAGAGAGCTTGGTTCATGAAAAGGAGAAGAAATCCATGTTCTAACTTCTCATTCTGGTTTGAACTAGTTTGACATGCAGGTAGGTATTCATTTGATGTTATTCCTTCATTTTATTCCCATAACAAATGTGTAAGATAGGCTAGGCTAAGAAAAAATGATAATAGTATGTGGAAATGACCTTGGGAGAGAGGAAGAAGAGTTGCAGACTGGATAACTGACATGTAAAAGGTATCTTAGTCCACAGAAGGACTGAGAAGCATTTCAGAAGGGACCCTCCCTAGTTTTCTGGAGAGTAAAAGGAGAGGAGGTGAGAAGTCATTTCAGTCTTAACAGAATAACAAATTTGGAACGGAGCTTGGGGATCTTCTAGTCCAACCCCCTGCTCAACCCTATACCATTTCGGGCAAATTGATGTCCAATCTCTTCTTAAAAACCTCCAGTGTTAGATTACCCAGACCTTCTAGAGGTAAGTTGTTTCACTAATTAATTGTTCTAGTTGTCAGAAAATTTCACCTTATTTCTAAGTTGCTTCTCTCCTTAATTAATTGTTTCTTGTTCTGTCTTTAGGTGCTTTGGATAATAGGTTGACCCCCCCCCCCCGCCTTCTTTGTGGCAGCCCCCTAGATATAGTATTGGAACACTGCTATCATGTCAGCCCCTAGTACTTCTCTTCATTAAATTAGACATACCCAATTCCAGCAACCATTCATATGTTTTTAGCCTCCAGCCCCCAAATAATCTTTGTTCTTCTTTGCACTCTTTCTAGACTCTCAACATATTTTTCCAAGATATTAACAGAACAGTTGCAGTCTTGCAAGATTCTTTTAATATAGCTTTAAAATAAAGATAAAATTAGTATCCATACTCATATTTCTGAGTCTGCACTGATTCAAGGGATTAGCAATGGCTGAATTCTTGCAAAATCCAAGGCACTTTGGTTTTGCTTGAAAACATTTTCCAGATGTGCACAAACTTTACTAATTATTTTGATTCATAGCCTTCCCTATTTCTTCTTTTGCCTTCTGAATCCATACTCACCTTGGTGATGGTGAACTGCCATCAATACGTGCCCAAAGGAACCACTGCCCAGCTCTCGGAGGATGGTGTAACTACTGGTCACCTCCACCTGAGGTAGGTTCTGAGCTGTCAGCTGCACCATTTCCTCAAGTCGTTTTCCAATGTCACCAGGGATTAGTTTCATGACTGCAGGGAAAGAGAAACATAGATACATATAGACAAGGCTTGAGGTGAACATAGAAGCCATCATTAGATAAGTAGCACCTTATCTGTATGAGGCTTTCTTGAAGTTTGTCCTACTAAGACAAAATATCATTTTTATTATTCCTTTGAGTCCCTGGTTTTCATTTGGAGAAAGGATGTGGTATAAATCTCACAAAAGAAATAAACATTTTCCCTTTCACAGCTGACTACTTTTGGAAGCCACAAAGTGCCTTTGAAAGATTTAAGTATTTTGACAGTCAAAAGTTGCAGGACACAAAACAAAAATGGAATTACAGTATTATAGAATTAAGTACGTAAGATGCTTGATAGTTTTATCCCTATAGAAGCTTGTTGTAAGATCATAGTTCTGCACAGCCACCCACTTGGCCTACTGTAGGGGCCTTAACACCCAACTTTGCCAATTGGCTTGGGCCCTTATGGGGGTGTATTGTACTGAAGGCGGCCAATGGATCGAGAGATGATTCTGGTTTTACCCCATTGCCCATTTCCTTAGGTATCTTTTAGTCTTATTGTTAATCATTTTTATTTAAATTTTTTACTGTTTTGTACTGCTGGTTTTACTTTATTGTAAACTGCCTAGAGTCATCTCTGGGTGAGATGGGTGGCGAAAGAAAAGAAAAAGAAAGAAAGAGAAAAAGAAAGAGAAAAAGAAAGAAAGAAAGAAAGAAAGAAAGAAAGACAGAAAGAAAGAAAGAAAGAAAGAAAGAAAGAAAGAAAGAAAGAAAGAAAGAAAGAAAGAAAGAAAGAAAGAAAGAAAGAAAGAAAGAAAGAAAGAAAGAAAAGGGGGAAAAAGAAAAGAAAGGCCAGTGGGGGCTTTACAGATAATTTGGTGTATAGTATTCTGCCAAAAATCATGGCTGGGAATCATTCCTTGCTGTCAAATATTGCTATACTCCTTCATAGATTTTAAGCTGCATGTGCATGATCTATAAAATAGGAATGAAAGAAAACATACATTTAAAAAAATAGAATGAATGCATTAGTAAGAATCATGGTGGATCTTGCAAACTAATGAAGATAATTTTATTACTCCCTTACTTGTCTGCTCTTCAGTTGAGTTTAAAAGCTGAATAAATAGTCCTCAATTTATGATCATATGTTCAGTCATCATTTGAAGTTATGACAGCACTGAATGAATGATGGTTTTGAATGATCCCTGGAATTCCAGCTGTCTCAGCACTCTTGCGGTCACAGGACTATAATCTGGGTGCTTGGCAGCCAGCTCTTATTTACCACCAGTCATATTGCCCCATGATCACATGATTGCCATTTGCAACCTTCCCCACCTCCAGAAAGTCAGTGGGAAAGCCAAGTTGTTGGGATAAGTCTTCTCTACTCGTGGTGGTGCAGTGGTTAGAATGAATTACTGAAGACTACTTCTGATGACTGCTGGCTGCCTCCAGTTTGGCAGTTTGAATCTTACCTGTTCAGGGTTGACTCAGCCTTCCATCCTTCCGAAGTCAGTAAAATGAAGAGCCAGATTGTTGGGGGCAATATACTGACTCTGTAAACTGCTTAGGGAGGGCTGTAAAGCACTGTGAAGGGATATGTAAGTCTAAGTGCTATTGCTATTGCTACTCCTTTAAATTACCCTCCTGCCCCTCAGCACTTGAGCTGTGCTGGCCACTCACACATTCCAAAATACCTTGCTACAACCCTTGCTGTGCCTCCCTTATACCAACCCACCTTGCACCTTCTCCCACCTGGCAGAAGTCCTTTCCTGTTTGTTGGCGTACTTGCAACTTTCTGCTGATTTTTCTCACTAAGGTGGTTGTGGAAAACCAGCAGGAAATTGCCTTGCCTAACAACCATGAGATTTGGTTAATGACAGCCACTGGGACTGCTTGGATTGCTATTCAAGCAATGTAATTGCAATCCAGTGTAATCATAGCACATTATGATTACTTAAGAAAAGAACTCCAGTCATAATTGTCACCTTAAGATAATGTGTACCTGGTTGCTATTCCTCCCATCCCCACCCCAACACACACAGCAATATGGACAATGAATGAAAAATGCTAGTTATCAGGGAATAACTTATCAAATTCCAGGGGAAATTTTGCCATGCTCTAAATGTTACATCAGCAATTAAAATGTGCTCGAAACTTCACTTACTGTTCAGCAAGATGTTATGATATAAATCAGATTTGCAACTCTGGAAGATCATATATTATATTTAGAACACTTCTGTCTCCCTGGCACCAGCAGTTTAAGGCTATATTCTTTAACTTTTGTTTGCATTTTTTCTCACACCAGCCCTATGAAGTAGATTACACTGAAATTAGCCCAAAATTATACAGTGTATGTAATGCCACGGGATTTAAACCTGATTCTCCAATCCATGCAGATTCAAATAGAATAACTGCATAAAAAATAATGATTTCACTGCAGACATGTTCTAAGGTGATCATGGGTGTTTTGTCCTCAAATATAACATTACTTTCTATTTACTTTCACTGTTCCTTACTTGTTTTGAAGCAACATATATTCCAACAGGAGAACATAATTCTTTCTGGCAAAACTTCAGAAATAACTACACCCCTGTGTTTACATAAGCAGATAAAGCAAATTCTAGACTGTGTACATACTGAAGGACAACCCTTCAGTTTTATCAAATTGCAAAATAACACAAGACCCAGAATGCTGGCCCAGGTGCGTAGAAAAGTTATGGTAAATGCTGGAGTACATACACTTAAGTTATTAAGTACTGAATGCTTCTGCTGACATATAAATACCATTTTCTCAAAAAGCAACTGCAACCAATCCTATCAAAATTGGAAAAAAATACTTTTAAGATAGAGAATGTGTTTTATAGGCAGAGAGGTTTTACTTCCAACATTTCAAAGCACTGACAGCAGATGGAAGGGAATAATATAAAGAACTTTTGCGTTCACCACAAAGCACGACAATGGATTCCTCCTCACCCCCAAGAGCTCTACATATTCCTTTTAAGTTGCAACAAATGCCGTTGATGCAAGAGAATAAGCAAAAGAAAGCCATAGGAACTTTCAGTCAATTGCACCATTGGCCTGTAGGCTTTGCAATTATTAGAAATAACAATCTAAGTGTCTCTACAGCAGATCCTTACCTGCAACTCTGGAGCTGGAGCATATGTGCCTCTTTTCCATGTATTTCTTCCTATTTTGTTGATTAAACAGTCAATCCTGCCTTGTCAGCCTATTCAGTACCTGTTCCATGCAGATCCCCATAGCACCTTTTATAGTAACTACTTCCCATCTGATTCTGTCCAGTCACATTAATAGGGAACTGTACCAAACCACTCCTCTCATCTCTTCTCCACTTTGCCCCAAAAGGTCAAGACTTTGGAAGTCCAGGCAGTTCCATGGGACAGGATTAACAGCCACTTATCAAGGTTATTTTTACTGCTCTTACCCAGATGGTTTCATACTTATATGTACCAGATGTTCCTGGAAAGAAATGCTTCTCCTGTCTCTGGAGAACTAATGGTTAAGCTTTGATGAGAGAAAGTCTTGAGACAGAATGAAAGGGAACTTTACTGGGGTCCCCATAGAAACTCACAGTTTCCATGCTGATAGATCAGCACAAGCTGCTTAAGCATACACTACTTTCCTTGCACCTTGGTTTTAACTCTGGGTCTCTCACATACATTTGTTGAATTCAATCCAGATGACACCAGTTTGTTTTGAGGAGTGAACATGTGGATAATTTTGGGGTTCTACACTGGTTTATCTGAAAAACAAGAGCAAATCTGAGCCTTTTCATTTTGTCAAGAATGAAAATGGTGAATAGTGTTTATTTCCCTACTGTCTTGCTTTGCTTTACTTCACTATGTTCTGGGTGCAAGCAATCCCTTCTTTTCTGCTGCAATCTAGGCATGACAGGCAAGGATTTAAAAAGTAAAGTTTCCTTTGTGTCAAACATTTCATCATGAAAACAACTATGTAGTTTTCTCAGCAATAGTATGAATGATTTGTCACTGTCTTCTTTCAGGGTTTCTTGATTGTTGGTGTTGGAAGTTAAAACCCACCCTCTCGTAGGAAAATGAAATATTTTAGGATATACTAAAAAGGCAGAATATTTCCCCTAAAAAGAAAAGTAGAAACTCAGAGAGGCAGAAACTCAGCGCCCCCCCCCCCTTTGCCAATGGACCATTATTTTGGCCTAGGCCAGTCTATTTTACATAACAAAGATCTACCCCAGGTAGAGTGGTAATAGGAATTGCCCAAAGCCCTTTCATTACATCATCATCCAGCAAGGCTCAACCAAGCCTGGGACTCAGGACAGCCTACAGAGTTCCCCTTGCATGGCCCCATGGGAGTCTGACAACCAATCAGAATACAAGCTCAAATTCAAATCCCAACAGAGGGACTCTCAGCATTTCTGCCCTTCTTTCACCCAGGAGCTCCAAGGCATGTGATCCTGTCCACCATTAAGCAGTCACCATGTTTCCAGTGTCTTTCTTCCCCACTTGGAACTAAACCCAGAAGGCTATTTCTTCCAACAATTCCTGTTTTTCTTTCTCTTTTCCTTTAAGTACCTTTATTTAGCCAACTTGATCTTCCTGTGTCATCTCTCAGCAAAGCCCATTTTTTACATATCCTTTTAGCTTTTCTTTTTTCTTTTCCCTACCAGCTAGGACCATCATCTGCCGTTCATCCCAAGCCTCTAATAGCTCTCCCAGTGGGGTTCCATTCAGGACCCTCAAACTACCACTTCCCATGTTTCCTCTTCCAATGTGGGGTTTCACACTTTGGCTTAGTCAAGGCAGTTGGCTATCAGTTTACAGACAAAAAGATGTTTGGGGAGACTTTGGTTCCCTTTGCAAAGTATGTGCATTCCCCTCCAAGGGAACTCTCTGGCCACGTTTTTTGGACTGAGGGAAAAACAGTGTGAGGACTTATTACCCCCCAAAAAGACAGTCTGGGAGAACTTTCTGCCCCCCGCAGACAAGTACTGGCACTCCTCTCCCAGCTCAGGTTCTTGGATTTGGGAGAGCTCAAATCTGGGAGGAATTGCTGCTCTTCTGCAAGCAAGTACTGGTGCTCCTATTACTTCACAACTTCCTAATTACCTAAATTCACAATTACCTAAAATCTTGAAGTTTGTTTTTGCGATATACTGGACAAAAACAACACATTTTCTTCCCTCCTTTCAGTCATTACCCACTTGGCCTTCCCCCTCCCCAACAAAAGGTTTTGTCCCTGGGCAAACCCCCCCCCCCCCCCCCAATGCTCTCCAGACTCTTGGTCTTTCTGCAAAGAAAATGCACAGAGGAAGCATTTTCTGTTAGAAAATGCACAGAGGAAGCAAGATCCAGTTGTGTTTGGGAGAAAGGCCCTCTTATACATATGCTGGCATACAAATATTTCCCATGGTTTCAATTTAGAATTTAGAGGTATTCACCTTCCTTCCAAGCAGCCTTTGAGCTCAACACTCAACCCCTTTAAAACCTTTTTTTCAAATGGCCAAGGTCCAGGAAAACTC